ATGTTGAACCACTGATGGCAGGCTGGGACATAGTTAAATTATATAAATGGAAATGTATTGAAGCAGAAGCTTTTTAAATTAAGCATTGGCCAACAAGGAAAAAGGGTAAGAACTGGCCTCGGTGAATATTGGCCTTGTGATATTTCCCTTGGGGCAGAGCTGACCCCCAGTTTGAGAGACTAATTCTTCAGGCAATTAGATGCAGACTTGTCTTGACCCTTGTGTTTAAGAAAATATGTATTTTCAGATTTGCATGAATTGCCCCTCTGCTTTTATCACATAACTGATGTGCTACATCACTCCCTGGTAAATGCACCTTTCCTTTGGGGATGGAAGGGCACTGAGGTGCCAGGGGTCATTTCCTCAGGACAGGCTGCTGCCTACGGCCCCATCTCATGGCACCTGTCCAGGTTCCCTGAATGCAGCACTGCTGCAAGGTGATTTCTGTAGTGAATAAACACTTCTTGCACCATTTTGTGTGTTTTATCTGAACATCTGTTGAAAGTCACCAAGACTGGCTTGTCAGTTGTCACAGCTGCCAGCAGGCAAATCAGATGAAAGGTGGAAGCTTCCAGGGCACTTTAATGTCTGCAGCACTTGTTTGTGCTGCTTCTGTGAAGCTATTGAGATCTGTTTTGAAAACCTTTGCTTTCATAAACAATTTTTGTCTCCGATGTGAATTTCAGATTCAGTTTTTCATCTGCAGTGTGCTTTATGTAAACATTACAGATCTGAAGGTACCCAGACCCAAGACAGGTCTGTTTAGGAGCTATTCTTGACTCATACTCAGAGCTCAAAACAAAATAATTTTATTTTTCAGTTTTTTCCAATATACCAGGCTTATCTAACTTATATCTTGTTACAAAAAAAAAATAAAAAAAATAGTTGCATAACAAGACTTGGACTGAAAAGGTAGCATGTGGGAAAACTATTGGTCACAAGAATGCTTTAAAGCCTGTTCAGGTGTTTCCCTCTAAAGAATTAGCTTCTATTCATTCAGGTTCATTTATCAGGTTTTTTTTCCCTCTCTCATTGTTTTGGTTTATTTTGTTTAAAGACAATGGTTTTATGCATATTGATAAGGTGCTCTTTGAGAATACCATCTGATTATCATCTTTCAGGATGCTTTTTTAAATATGTGGCTTTGCAAAGCTGCAGTTATCTTTTATGTGTGTTCTAAAAGCAGTAGAGCAAAGGAAGTGGTGTCCAGGTAACTCATCTCTTCAAATGCTTCCAAGTGCTTTCAAAATGTGTGTGAAGTGAGACTTCAAAAGGAAAATAAAGAAGCAGTCTATTTTTAAAGCCTTGGACTGGATTTAGAGGACCCAGGCTGTGACTCCAGCTCTGTGGTAAGCTTTCTGCCCTACCTTTGGTAGGTGACTGGAACAGAGACTTGGAATATGGCCAGGTTGTGCTTTCATCAGGAAGGCTGGAGGTGTTGAAACTGGAGTGACAGTGCACTATTCCCAGCAGGAACGCCGTTTCTGGGGAGAATGAACATGTGTGCTCCTACACATGCCTTAAACACAAAGTTCCTGTAATTGGGAATTTGCTGAGAAGGTCCCAGGTGAAATTCTCTTCTGTTTGATTATGACAAAGATTTGAATCTGTTTTGAGGGTAGAACCTGTGTGTGGTCATAGCTCTTTGGAGCAGGGATAACACTGATGATTTTTTGCCTTCTCAAAAGATCTTGGTTTTGCTCTGCTGCAGCGTGGGAAGGATCTTGAGGTATCAGACTTTTGTGGCAGAAAAAGTAATTTTTATGTTGAGCTTTGTGAATTGCTTAACATCTCAGCAATTCTTTCCCCAGTATGTATAATAAAGTGAGGATTACTTTGTTTTTTTAGTCACTGCCTGTGTTTGAACTTTAAGGTCTTTGGGATAGATATTTCTTATTGGTTATTGTCCTGTTATTCTGTCATGAAGAATCAACATCAAGACAAAAAATTGTCAAGCTTTGTCCTCTCTCAGAAAAACATTTGTAGGGAGTTGATGTTCAAGTGCTGAAACCATTTCCATCTCCAGCAGAGAACAGTGATTGGTAATTCTACAGGAATATCTCAAGGTGTGCATTTTAAGCACTATATCTTGTGAGCCATGTGAATGTTACCAGAGCTGGGTAAAATGTGGCTGAAGATGGTGCTTGAGCAGCAGAACTGCCAGACTGCAGTGGAGCAGGTTCCTGCAGCCCTTGCATGTCCTGCAGAGAGAATTGAGATGGTTGGCCAGGGTCCCCTGGCAGATGGTGCCAGAAAAGGAAGGTGGATCCAGAGCCTTTGAGCTCTGCTGCTCTCTCCTTCACTTGGTGAAAAAGTCGTGTGAGAGACATCACTGCACCACATGCAGCTGAGATATTAGGAGGCAGTGGCTGCAGTAGAAGCCCCAGGGACCACTTTGCCCTGGGGTGACCCTCCTTGAGCAGTTTCTCTTGGAAAACTTTGTTCTGTGAACAAATTAGAGATGGAACTTGGAACATGAGGAATCTTAGAATAATTTTGGTTGGAAAAGGCCTTGAAGATCAACTCCAGCTGTAAACCTAACACTGCCAAACCCACCACTCAATCATGTCTCTAACTGCCATATTTACGTGTCTTTTAGATGCCTCCAGGGATGGTGACTCAACCCTGGACAGCCTGTTGCAATGCTCAGCAACCCTGTCAGTGGAGAAATTTTTTCCTAATATCCAATCTAAACCTCCCGAGGCACAACTTGAGGCCATTTCCTCAATCAACTGTTTCCAGGTTGTCCTCGATAACCGTGTAAGCTTCCCTCAAATGATGATAGGTATAAGAATCTCTCCATCAAAAATTATTTCAGGCTCTATATGATAGGTGTCTAACCTTGTACAGGCTTGAAAGTGTGTAAAAAGTAATTAGAATTTGGCTGCTTTAAACAGATAACAAAAAATATTTACAGATTTTTATATATTATTTTTCGGGAGGAAACTGGAACTCCCGTCTCTTCAGTCAAAACTGCTGGGTACATAAATGTTTTTTATCTGCTGATCACTGACAAGCATTGCTAGATGATAACAGCCCAATCATTTAGTCATCACTAGTTTGGTTTTTTTTAAATTAGCTTTTCTCATAGTAAATTGGTTATGAAATTTATGGTAGTGACCATGTTAAATATTAACAGTAGCACCAGAGAAAAATCAGCATTTATTTCCAGAGCTGAATGCCCTTATCCAAAATGATCCTTGCAACTTTTCTGCCAAGACCTGTTTCTTCATGTGGCTATGTAGATCAGGACAGGCTTTGAAGGTGTTTCACATACTAAGCACATACAATTGTTCAATTTGATTTTTTTGATCTCAAAAGCTTTCAGAGTTATGAAATGCTATGAGACTCCTAAGCTTCTCCAAGTAGGTATTATGACTTGAGTTTGTGTAAGTGCTCTTCAGCAAGACAGGGAATGCAGGTGTGTGGTTGTAGACCAGTGCATGGGCAGGGATTCCTAAGCAACTGATCCGTAGCTGGGAGTGTTTTGGAGGTGTAACCTTGAGACTGACTTGTATGCATGACAATAATTTTGCAGACTGACTGAATAGCTGCTAGTAAGACAAGATGAAAAATGTTTTTGCCCTGTCAACTGACCTTCTGCAGATTGTGGCTGGTTTTCCACAGAGAGCTGCTAGCAAGGAGAATAGGCGATGCAATTTGTTGTTGTAATTTGCATATTTATTCAAGAACATCTTCCCAGTGACCTCCTAATAGCTGAGCAGTGTCAGATGACAGCGCTTTTGCTGTTGTTGGTGTCTGCCAAGGTCTTGGGCTGGGATGTTCAGGAAATGGGAAGGGTAAAGCTGGGCTCCTCTCCAGGCAAAAGTAGTCAATGGGGCTGTAGGAAAAAGCCTTCTCACCTGACTCAGAACCAGGGTGTTCATACATGTATCTTTCATCTCCTGGAGTGGAGCAGAGAGGATCAGGAGAGATGGGCAACAACCCAAGTGTTACCCAGGATCTGGGTCTGGCCTCCGTGAGAGGGAGAATCTTGTGGTTGTTCAAGCCAGAGCTTGTGGAACTTGCCTGGCTCTGATGAGGTTTGCATTTGGACTCTGCCATAGAGCTTACAAACTCAGGGGTCTTTACCTGTTTCCAGATGGATGGATGGTCTGCAGCTTGAGATTTGCTGTAAGGATGACTGTCTCTTTAAGACCAGTATGTGATTTATTTATATTAAACATTTGTGCTCAATTTATCCCCTCATTTATATTAATAAATATCTTGTGGTATTGCATCATGCCAGCTGGATATTTGATAAATAATTTGCTGTCACCCAAATTCTGAAACATCCAGCTCAGCTGGACCAAAATAAATTTTAATTTAAAAAGTAATATGCAGTGTGCTTACTAAAATCAAAATATTTCAAAGCAATGAACTAGTGGGTTAAATACAAATTTGGGAAAGTAACGTAATAGAAATCCACTGGCTGCGCAGAATTTATTTGAAAACTAAATTTATATTGGGCTTCTGTTTGGATTTAACTTAAAAGCACTGCTTTTATATACTTAGGGACTGTAAACTACTGCTGGTATGTGGCCAAGCCAAGTCTTCAGGAAAGTACACTCAGCTTTGGAAATAGTAGCAAGTGGAGCAGAAGCAGGGAGGCAGGAGCAAGCAAGAAACAGCAATGTTTCCTGAAATTCACTTCTTTCTCTTCTTGCCATGTAAAAGTACAGGCTTATTATGGAATTAGTGTATTATTATCCTGAACTAGAGACAGAACTTTTGGTATCTTTTTAATAAATTAATGACAGATTAGATCTAGATAAGGTATGAATATCTATGCTCAGCTATTTCTTTATGGGAGGAATGAGTTTTAACAGATTTAAATAATGTTGAAGGTTTTTAACTACTGTCTTATTTCCCAAGCAACACCCTATCATATAAACATGGTTTCTGTCTTGTTTTTCTGTCACAGATGTCCTTACCAAACAGATCTCAAAAGCAGAACACAGGGAGATAATTCAATATCTGTCTTTCTCTCCCATGTCTAGATTATCAGCGGCTGATGACGGTGGCAGAGGGAATCACAACGCTGCTGTTCCCGTTTCAGTGGCAGCACGTGTATGTCCCCATCCTTCCTGCCTCTCTCCTGCATTTTCTGGATGCTCCTGTTCCCTACCTGATGGGGCTGCAGTCTAAGGAGGGAACCGACCGCTCCAAGCTGGAGCTGCCTCAGGAGGTCAGTGTCCACCTTGGGGGCTGCTGTCCTGAAATGTCTGACTAATACACGTGTGAATTACTGCTGGGAAGTGATGCCTGCTGCTAGGAGGCTTCTCTGGCACTGTGGATACTGATTGCCAGCAGCAGTGAGATAGTAGGGAGGTCTCCACAGCCCTTCTTGGTCCATTTCTGAATTTAATGAGTACCACTTACTGTTTTGATTTCTAAATGCTTCTCTTTCTCCTGTTTGTGGTGACAAAGCTGAAATTTTGTTGGCTTTCTCTACACCACATGCTCCACCAGGTTTCATTACTCCATCAGTGTCACAGTCCTACTGAGAGAGGGCTAAAGAGCATTTCACTGGGGAGGATCTCAATGGCTCTGGGTCTCAGGTGCAGTTGCTGGGTGGTGTGAACCTGTCCCCCTGCTGCTGAGGAGCGTGCCATGTCCTGCCAGCCCCATCCCATGGCTGAGCCCGTGTGTTCCTGGTCTCTTACTACACCACTGTCCTGATCTCAGGCAAGCCAGGCTTGCATTAATACCGTGCCTATGAACCACTTAGTGAGAAAAGAAAAGGAAGGAGAGGTCATCCTCTTAATCTCAGGGTTAAATCCTTGGGAGTGGTGGAGAGTGAAATGGAGATTTTCCTCCTCAAAATTTGGTGAAGGTGATTAAAACTGCTTCACATTTTAACCTGGCCACACAGCAAAGTCTTTGGGAAATGGCTTACCTGCCTCCATTCCAGAGGGTGACTGGAACCACAGCATGCCATGTGCTTTTAAACTTAAGTTTCTTCTTAAAATCAGTGGGAGCCCCAAAAGTACCTGTTCGTACAGCAGTAATATCTCCTGCCAGTGGCTGTGCTGGGGGCACTCTCCTGGAGGCAGAGTCCTTAAGGATTCCAAATACCTGCACTGAGAAGGCAGATGGGAACAGCAGCAGAGGAGAATACATGGGAGAGTTTTTGTGTGGAAGTGGAGGGATAAACACAGGGCAGGGGTAATACAATTTTTAATAAAGGTCTATTTTACATACTGCATGAAGGTGGCTGAGTCAGTCTTGGTGGCCAAATCAAGTTTTACCTCATGGATACAGTGACTGAAGCAGATGAAATCTGCACTGGTGTGGAAGCAAGGCTGCTATCTAGCTATGCTCCTCAGTAAAACCGTGCTAATATTACATAATTACCGTGATTTTTAAAATTATTAGTCACATGCTTTTGGTTAGCAGATTAAGCTGTCATTTTCCTTAAATTAAAAATTTAATGTGACGGTACTTAGTAGTGCAGTATCATTGGAATAACAAATATCACCAGGGAGAGAAGAGTAAGAGTGGGGCGGAATCTGCCCCCTCCATGATATTTTGAATGAATGAAAGATACCAGCATTTATGAATACCGCAGGTCCAGTAACTGTGAGAGAGGGAAAGAAAAGACATATTGAACAGGGAAGATCTCGAATCTCAAATTCTTCTAGACAATAAAATATAAAAAACCCCTCAGCATGCGAGCAGCGATGAAATGCTGTTCACATCAGCATTCCTTTATTGTTCAGGCCAGGGGCTAGCTTTTCAAGCTCTTGCTCTAAATATAAACCATTTGTTTGTTAGAGATAAAAATTCTAACAACTGGCCATCATGCTGTCTTAAGGTTACTAATCTCCCTGCATTAACTTTAATCATCAGATGTTTTTGAAGAGAGAAGTGAGACCAATTCCCCAAGGGTTTTCTGAATATAAATCTCATTTTTCAAATTTTGTAAATGATATGCAGAGCTGAAATTAAAAAGCCTTTGAAATGAAATATTGATAGATAAGAAGGCAGTCCCTGAGCTAAAGAACAGTACTGATGCATACCACCACTGTGTAATAGCTACATAGTTAAATAAAGCAAATTGTTTTGTATGAAGAAATGCATTTCTTTGTACAGACTACATTTAATATGAAAAAGCTGAAGGGACACTTATCCTTTACTAGTTGAATCCTAATATGCTTTAAAGTATCTATGTGAAAGGTGATTAATGTTAATAAACATGTCCCTGAAATATCCAATATATTATAAACATATTTGCTGTGGAATGTATTGTCTAGCTGAAGATTAACTTCTCAAAAATGAAGGAAAATAAATAATTCGTCTTCATATAAGATCAGTCTAGGGTGTTTGTTAAGAAGTAAAGAACACTAAAAGTGTCTGGAAGGAGGTAGAGAAGCTGTGGTAATGACCAAATCAGGCTAACAAAGACCTGCTGCTGTCCTGTGGATTTTCTGCATCTCCTGTTCTGTAGTTTTATGCCAGGATAAAACACATCAGAGCTCAGCACCTCGGCAATCTGACCTGGTTTAAGATTTTACTCAGCACAGTGCACTCAGACAGCGAATTTCATATGTAAGCCACCATTCAGGAGATCAATTACTGTTTTTCATTCTACTATTATTCCTGAGGGTGCATTTGCAATGTAATTAATTTTTATGTGGGGTTCTTCTGTCCCTCCATCGACACTTACCTAGTAAAAGTATCTGCTCTGCTAGATTAATGTCTTCACTTTAATCTTACAGGCTGAGATCTATCTCCATTCATAGCAAAGCTAAGAGCACTCTCTTTAAATCTCAGGCAGAGGAATTGCCACTATTAAAAGCCTCCATGGAAACAGGGGGTCAGGGGAGTGGGGAGATGAGACGTGGCCTCTAGTGAACAAGCTGTACTCAGACATAACCCCAAAGGATTTCTGTGGGACCCTCTTTTGTAGTTTTGCTTGAAGCAGCATCATCTTTCTCACTGAACATCTCATTCCCTGGTAACACAGCTGCAGAGGCTTCTTGCAGTTGGATCCTGGTATAATAAATCTGCCTGTGAGATGCAGTAATTCACAAAGGGTATTTGCATGGGCTGAGAAGTGGTGCTGCACTTCCAGCTTGGTGATGTGTCCTTGCCAGCTCCAGGAGGGTATATGAAATCTTTGTGGTGGAAAGTTTGGGGTTCTGCATGCCCTGGGGAAACAGGAGAATGCTGGAGCCTTTGTCATGCAGTTGACCCTCAGCTTTACTGAAGTCTGAAATGTCACAGGCTAGACAGCACAGCTGAAGTGTCCTGCATATGTGTGCACTTATCCTTCTGTCTGGAAGCACCCTGGGAGAAAGGGCTACGTCACAGGGGAACCAGTTCAGTGCCGAGTGTCCATTTTGAAACTTTTGTTTGTATTTCAGGCAAACTTGTGCTTTGTAGACATCGATAACCATTTCATCGAACTGCCGGAGGAATTCCCACAGTTCCCCAACAAGCTGGAGTTTATCCAGGAAATCTCTGAGGTTCTCCTGCAGTTTGGGATCCCTCCAGAAGGCAACCTGCATTGCAGTGACAGTGCCACCAAACTCAAGAACTTGGTTCTTAGTGACCTGGTGAATGACAAGAAGAACGGGAACATCCCCAGCAATGCCCTCAACATGTACGAGCTGCTGAAGGGCAACGAGACGATCGCCCGCCTGCAAGCCCTGGCCAAGAGAACAGGCGTGACCATGGAGAAAATGACCATCACCACCCCCCTCACAGAGGAGAAGGATGGGAAGTTGTCGTGTGAGGAGCTGGAGCTGAGGGACTACAAACTGAACGTGCAGCTCCGCGAGGTTTTCGCCAACCGCTTCACGCAGATGTTCGCAGACTACGAGGCTTTCGTCATCCAGGCTTCCCCCGACATGGAGTCGTGGCTGACAAACAGGGAACAAATGCAAAACTTTGACAAAGTAAAGATAGCCATGTATTCGTGTCCCCATCTAAAAGGGGGAGGGAGGGATAGCTGTGTTTGTGTATATATAGCCTGGGTTCTCTTTCATCTGCCGTTCCTCATCTGCCTCACTGCAAGATTTGTCCATTTCCATTACACAGGGCCAGATCTCCTGCCAGAGTGAATCGGAGCACATCCACTGAGCTGTTCAGAGCCATCCTGGCTTGTACAAACCAAGCTGGCAGGCTTCTGCCCAGCTCATGGGGCTGCTCCTGTGGGCTTGGTGGAAGGGTAGCAATGCAAAGTGACTTCTTTTTCTGTCTTTCTTATTTTTGATTGTTGGGAGGAGAGGTGCACACTTGAGATAAAAAAAACAAATCTAGTCTTTTATTTTTCCTAATCTCATGGTAGAGGTTTTGGTAATGGGTAATGTTTTGAAGAAGATTGTCACTTAAACAGTATTGTTACAACTCCATTGTCGTGTATGCACAAGAGGGAAAAAGAATCCCTTGAGATTAGAAATGGGGCTATAAAGAGATGGTAGGATAGCAAAAGGAATGGGAAATGCTAGGAAGCTTGCACAGCTGCTGAGTTACCCTACAAAGCAGATAGTGTTCTTAGCCATCATCTTTTTTAGGTCCAAGTCGTTCTCTAAGGAAAAGGTTAAGAGGATGAACAGTGAGGAGCAGACTAAATACTGATCTGAGTCAGTTTTTGATTAAAAAAAATTGCCGCCATGCCTTTTATTGGTTTGTTTTTGGGCATTAAACAGTGCAGCATTGCCTAAACAATCCATCCTTTTCAATCTCTGTTAGTGCTTCTGCAATAAAATGGGCTGTTAATTTTAGGGTTTCAAAGCTCAGTTAGAGGTTTAGACACACAGTCAATTTTAATTGGAAATTTGTGATTAATTGCCCTGTGTAATGTTCCTGAATAACACTGTTCACCCCTTGATATGTATGACACCTTAAGTGATATGGTCCCAGGCAACAATGCCCAGACCAGAGGTCCCAGAGGGGCACGTGTGATGATCTGCCATGCATTTCACAGAGTTCATTCCTGGGGGTGAGAGCTGCTAGGTGCTTTGAAAAAGCAGGCAGCATGAGCACTACTTCAGTAACTCGATATCCCCTTGTTCCAGCTGCCTCAAAGCCTCCCTGACTGCTTATTTCTTACACTTGTGAACCAAGCCCCTTTGTAGATGGATTCACAGCTCTCTGAGAGGTGTTTCTGCAGTGGGGAAAGCCTTGTGCAAGCCTTCCTGCTGATTCTCTGCTGAAGGATGGCTGGGCACACCAGTGCTAGGCATGAACGTGGCACTAATGAGCTGTTCTGTATTTCAGGCTTCCTTCCTTTCGGACCAACCCGAGCCTTACCTCCCATTCCTTTCACACTTCATCGAAACACAGATGTTTGCAACCTTCATAGACAATAAGATAATGTCCCAGTGGGAAGAGAAGGACCCTTTTCTACGAGTTTTTGACTCCCGAATTGAGAAAATAAGGCTATATAATGTCAGGGCCCCCGCACTGCGGACGTCCAACTACCAGAAATGCAGCACTTTGAAAGAAGCAGGTACGTTCAGAGGGGGTGGTAAAATATTCAAAATTACAGTGTCAGCCACCAAGAAATATAGGTTCTCAGTCATCTGAGTGTTGCAGTTGATGAAGTCCAGAGCTACCTGAGGAGAACTCAGCAGTGTCCTTATCTCAGCAGCAACTTTAGCGTGCTGTTAAACACCAGAAACAGCAGGAGGCCTGACCTGCTCTTTGAGCTCTCCTGGGCTGGTACCTTTAATAAAATCAAGCCAAAGTCAAATGGAACTGGCGCACAGTTGCTCATTTCAGGCAACTCCTGTTCCTTTGCCAGGAGAGCTTTCCTTCACCCTGGTGGTGGGACCAGTGCCAGCCACACTGAGGAGATGAGCCCCGGTGTCTGCTCCACTGGCCTTGTCTCCCCCTTCCCATAAAAAGACATTGTTTTGCCTTACACCATTTGGTTAGAGCAGCAGGGGATGCTGCTCTAACAGGGAGGTAATCCTGTGTGGCATATTTAGTACCTCCAGCAGTAGGCGTTCATTGTTAATGAACAATACTCTGTACTGAAGGATTGGAATTTTTTTCTGTTACTGTCAGAGGATGCTTTTCCAAATTATATTTTAATTTCTTACTTAATGCTTGTGCAAGTATTTATTTAATTTCTAAGTAATACAGGGAAATTATACTCTTAAATTTGTTAGGGCACGTATTAGTAAGATAGGGCAAACATATTTTTCATGGGATTTTTTTTTGTTTAACCCCTTCAGTGTTTTACTTGCTGTAAACATGTCAGAAATAGAAATCTGTGTCTGTTTAAATTTATTCTGTCTAAACCCAATTCTAATTTGCAGGTCAGCTGTCTATTCAGCGTCTAGTTTTGGCAGATATTGTGGCACCAGAACCTCATTTTCTGTCTTGTGAAAAGCAGCAAACTGATAGTAAAACCAATTTTCTTTCATATTTACCATTCACAGTATATGTGACCCCAGCACTGATCCAGCACCTGTTTGTTTAACTATTTTTGGAACCCTTCAAATCCTCTGACCCCACACTACCCACTCCTTTTCGCCAAAATGGAACCATACAAAGTGATTTTTATTTTTTTCAGAGAGGAAAAAATGCTTGCTGAGTTTCTAATGATAATATATGTAAATCTTGTGACAGCTTCTTTCCCATCACAGTTTTATAAAATAGGAAATGAGTTTTATGTTGTTCTTAACAAATGGAAAACAGATTTAGCTTCCACATTTTGCATATGTATTCTGTAGCTATGATACGCTGAAAGAACAGGCCTGCCCGTTAATAGATGGGCTAGAATATTAAAGTTGCTAATTAAATGCTGAATTCACCCATACACCTCCTTTCCTAAGTTCTTCACAAGTTAAGAGGGTGACAGGTTTAATTTTCATTCTGTTTGAGGTTTGAGATTGAAAACCTCAAGTCCTTGAAGCAAAGGATTGAACCGCTTTAGTTTCAGTGGAGCCGAGATTCCTGGGGAGCCCTCTCCCTTATCTTACCATATATATAATCACACCTAAACTATCTTACCATAGCTTTCCCTGTTTCCAAGAATCTGCTCATCCTCCTGATCATGCTCAGGTCTTACTACAGTTAGCTTTTTGAAGGCCTGTCATCCAGGAGGAGGATAATTATAGTCCCAGATGTTTGCAAAACTCAGGTGTCCCTCTGCAAGCATCTGCCCAGGGAGCGTGTCTGGAGCTAAGCAAGGTGCTCAGTCCCACAGGGGTTGCAGCTGGCCTTGGAGGTCTGTTCTGCTGAAGAAGCCTTAAAATTGAACAAGGAATTTCAGGGAAAGATTGCATTGCTGTTGCCAGTTCCGAATGCATCTCGTAGGCTCCTGTAAATACCTGCTTGCTTAACAGCTAACTTGCTTGCACTAGTGCTCGCTGTGTTGGGTAAAGAAACTAAAAGCAAAATTTAAAAACCTACAGCACAAGTGTCTCCTCACCTCTGTGAGTGGCAGATTTCTGTGTCCAAGATCACCATTTAACTCTCTAGTGGGTTTCCAGGGGTCTGAGCATGACCACTGCTGTTATGATGGGTCGTGACGCAGTTGTTCACCTGTGACTGTCACCTGCAGCCCAGTCCATCGAGCAGCGGCTGATGAAGATTGACCACACGGCCATACACCCTCACCTGCTCGACATGAAGATTGGCCAAGGGAAGTATGAACAAGGATTTTTCCCAAAGCTGCAATCAGATGTCTTGGCAACAGGACCCACCAATAACAAGTAAGCGCAGGTTTTATTTTCTGGATTTAAAAACAGGTTTCTTGTACAAATGCTTCACATCACTGGACAGAAGTCCTAATTTGGATGGCATATAGCCAGTCTAATGAATGGAAAACTAACAGCTGTTTCCATTTCAGGTTTTTTTCAGCCCGTTTCATGGGCTGTGACTTTTGAAAATGTAACCATAGTTTGGGTTATGTCAGGAAGCATTGGCTGTTGGGGAAGATTCCTCATTGCTGCTTCCTGTTGAGTGGTAACTACTACTCTGTCTTCTCATACATAGTTGTTGTTTTGTAATTGGTCTTATGAGTTTCAAATGAATTTTTTGACTGTTTTGCACTGAATACAGTAATTTGGCAACTCAAGCCAAAACTGAGCTTCTGAAAGAAATGCCGGTGTTGAAAACTTCACACCATAATGTGGAATGGAATTAGTGTCCACTCTGTTCCTTTCTTTTCTTTAGCTGTTATTACATGACCCAGAGATTTTTGTAGCTCTTTCAGTTGCCACATTGGAATACCCTGGAATAATAACTTGGTGAGGGTGGAAAGTATGTGATTCTGTACCTGGGTTTCTTTTTTGAGTCTGGTAAGGTTCTCTGGTGCACTTTGATAAGAGGGTAGTGGTACCTATAGCTGTGAAATTGAGCATGCCATTACGTGGTTCATTTACCTAATGCAAAATGGGAACCTGGAGCACGGATACACTTTACATCTGTATGGTTATAATACAAAGTAAGTGCTGTGAGTTCCTTTATTTTTAATCTTTCTTCCTGCAAAACCCATGAATGAGGGGTTTCTCCCTCTTCAAAAGTGAAATATTTGTGCACCACTGATTACAAACACATTAAATTATCAGCTGAAGCCCTCAGTTTCAGCTTCTGGTAGTCAAAATGTGGGAGCACAGGTAAATCCAAGAGCTTCAAAGGCTACAGTTGTCCAAATGTTAAAGCTACCTCTTGTTTTAGACATGTTCATGCACACACACTACTCTGTGCTTCTGCCTGAGGTGCCCACTCAGTTCTATTTAAACACCTTTTGTGCATACCAATGCTAGCTAAGCCCTTTTGAATAACCTGCTAGGAATAATAATTGCAAATGATAATATAAGAGATCCTTAAGCATTGAATTTTTAAAGAAATGGAATTCTTGAAAAGAAATTTTTAAAACCCCAGAACCAATCAAAAAGCAGGAATGCATATTTCAAAGTTCCTTTGCTTTCAGGCTTCCTACAAATGGAGCCAGAATTGTATGGGTAATGGTCCTCTGAGGAATGGAGGATTTCTTCATCTTGTGAGATGCTGTATTTAAGAGTCTGCCTCTTATCCTTATGGGTGGGTTTCAGTTTCACAGTGTCAGCAACAGTGTGAGTGTGCCCAGCCTGCTTAAAGTTGCTTAAATCTTCTGTCTCTAATGCAAAATCATAGTGAATCTATGAATAAGCATCACTTAAAAATGGTTTTCCTTATGCTTTTTGAAATTAGCTTCTGTTAGATTGGTACCTGCTCTAAAATGACTTTAACTCCTTGAGTGGTGATTTTGATTTAGATCGCAGCATGTTTCAGAATTTGTAAGTACCAAAATCCCATTACTTTCCACAAAGTGATGTCAAAGTGACAAATGTTTGGAATTTCTCCAGTTGTATGTTGCCAAAAAAGCTTGTAATTGGAAAATTTCAAGACCATCTGTTTATATCTTTCTTCTGCCTGGTTTTCATGTGAGCAGCTGAGAAGACTCTTTCTCTCCCATTTAGGACATGTAATTGTGCTGATTTTACACCCATGTATAGAACAGCTTTTCCTTGCCTTCTGCAAATGCAGTGTGACTCTTCTGACCACAAAATCAATTGAAGTATAGCCTTCCATTAATTTGAATTTCCCAGTGTATGATTCTTGGAGGTAGGTTTTACTTACAGGGCTGGAGCTTTGCCTATGGGCATGGACTAAGAGAACATTCCAGCTACGTTTCCAGACTCTTCAGGTGTAGCTATTGTGTGTTTATATTATAAAATTAATGCAAAGAATATTGCTGTGTAGATGAGAATTATTTTTGCAGGCTTCAGTTTTACATGGCAGATTTTGTCCTGAATTTTGTATGGAAGTGTATGGGAAATGGGGAATAATTCCCATGTTGCAGTCAATTGTTGCTGGACAGTAGCAAATAAACCAATTCAAAGCTGTTTTAATGAAAACATGTCCTCAGTGGCCAGCAATCAGGAATTTATTGCTTCCCTTTCTGGGCTGATAAACTAACAAATATATAACCAGAGCTCATAATGTTATCTAGCTGTTCCCTTCCTGTAAGCAGGAGGAGCACTGAAAATACCTCTGTCAGTTACTGGGCTGTTACATGTGTAATATGTTGTATCTAAATCACAAACACAATGCAGACAACAAACACTTCTACTTTCAGTTCTAGATCCTTTATGTGATTTAAACAACTTAAACTAAACCCAAACCAAAACAATCCCCCAGTTCTGTCCTCCTCCCCATCAGGCAGCAGCATCCCACTTGGGCTCCCTCTGTGCTGCTTGCCTTTGATACATCTCCCACATCACGGGAAAACCTTCTGAATCTACAGGGAGCAGCTGCAGCTTCCTCTGGGTACAAAAGCATCCCCACCACGCTGCTCTAACCATGTAAAGCAGTGGCTTCTGCAGAAGTCCTCCTAGAAAGCATCCCAGGAGCAAACAGACTGCAGTCCCTCAGGCTATTTGTCTGTTATTCTGGAGAAGAGCTGTGGTTTCCAGAGCCCTCATTTCCTTTCTCAAACCCCAGCACCACACTGTGGTTTCTATGTGTTCCCTTCTTCCCTGTGTGCATTTTCTGCCAGGCTTTAAAATTGTAGCTGGAACTCCACTGGCTGATGCATTTGCAGGAGTGGAATTTGAATGACAAAAAGCCAAGCTACATAAACACTTCATGGTTTTTGATTAGCTAATTGTTAAATTAGGGGGGATATGCTTACAGTGCAAAATTAAAACAATGAAACAAGCTGTGTTTTCAATCTAATTGATTACCTTGTAACTTAATTTGTACTAAGAAGCTTGATAAATGAGATTAAATATTGCAGAGGAAAACAGTGATTCTCAAGCATGGGAATATATTTGCATTCTGGCAATTTGTATTGAATGCCTTCAAAGAACAACTGAATGCATTTTTTTCTTCTTTCTTTTGGTTTTCAAATGAAGGGTTTGCTTTGTTACTCATTTACAAAATGGCTTTAATTACCCCTTTTTTTGCCTTCATATCTGTTTAGGCCTTCTTTCCCTCCCACTTCTTTATTGGAGCCCTGCTTTCCTCCTTGCTTACTGTCCTGCCCAGCTTGGTTTCTCTTTCCTGCCCTGGCCAGTTCTATCACCTGAGCCCTCTCACTTGCATCCCAGCTTCCTGTGAGCCTTGGTCTGTCTTCTGTGTCCTGCCTTTCCTGCAGCAGTCCCCAAAGGAGGGCACAGTGCAGGTCTCCAAGCACAGATCCCATTGTTGTTGGCCTCTAACCTCAGGCTTTTGCTGGGTGATGCGTTGCTCTTACCCATGAAGCAGATTTCAGAAGTTGTTTGCTTTCCACAGGCGTTTGTTCCCTAGCTGTGTTTTGCTGATCTGACCACTGTGTCAGTATTTATTTACAAAACCCATGCAGTAGGAGTGTACAGAATTGGTTCATTTTTGTGCTCCATTTTTGACATGACTTGGTGGGCACTGTGACCTTCATCTTCAGCCTCCTCCTTCAAGGTGGGAACTGTGCAAGGTTTATCTGGCTGGGGCTATGGTCCTCCTCATTTTTAAACAGGGCTCTTTTTTGTTTGTTGCTGGCATTTAACATCAGGTAATGATTTTAAAGGAAATATGACACAAAGGGGTTGATGTGTCTGTGTGATGACAGAATTTGTTCTGGTTTTAACTAAATTATTTTTTGTAAGCCAAATGGTCTTTTTCTTTTAATGAGTGCTTCATATTATATGGCCTTTTACTACTCCCCTGTCTGTTGGGTACTGTTTTAAGGCTGTGTTAAATGAAGATACCATCTTTTTTTAATCAAGCCAAACAATTGCAAGTAATATAGAGTGGCATCTCTGCAGTGCATCTAGGTGGGCACAAAATGAGTCAGCAGTGAGCCATCCACACACAGCACTGAGGTTATTTAAATTTTGTGAGTAGTAAAAGCTAACCTTTTACATAAGAAGATCTGAAACAAGCAGTTACTATGCTTTAGGTAACCTAATGTAGCAAACCACTGATGGGTGCAATGAAAATATGAACCACTTGTACTCCAATACATTCATTTTCAGGAATGAAGTGTGACTGACAATCTGTGCTTAAAGATGGTTTCTGAGGTAGGAGATATGTGTTGTGGTGACTTGGAACCTGATGGGTGAGTTTCCTGAGCTACTGATCCTCTGCTCAACTGGTGCAAGGCAGGAAAAGTGCAATTAACCTCTTTGAGTTAATATATCATTTTAACATAGCTGTGCAGAATTGAAGCTGACAGGGAAAAATGGGCATTGAAATCCTTGCATCCACTATTCCATTTGCTCTCCTCTGAATAGTACTGCTGTCTCAAGGGACTTGCAAATTAAATATCTCATAGGACAGTGGTTCCTCAGGGCAGGTGATGCTGCCAATTCAGTGCAGCTCTTCCTTACAGAGGATGACAGTTGTGTGTGCCACCCTTTAAAATCCCTTCTTTTCCTATGAGCTGATGGAAGAGCCTGTCAGTGCAAGGCCACTCTCTTTAAGGCATTCACTAATTTTTGTCCATCCAACAGGCAGTTTCAGAGCTTTCCTATTTCACCCTATGGCAGAGATGGAAAAGGTGCCTAAGTTTCCATCTAAGCCTTTATTTTCCTTAACATGGAGCAGTGTTTGTGGAGCAGATTCCACAAATGGATCCCCTCCTCTGTCAGCCCATCCATGATCAGATGGAGCTTAATTTCAACGTTCCTTTTCTTGTTTGGTCTGACACGTGCTTGACTTGGAATCTCTGTGTACAGTCCCACACATGTGAGCCCTCTGAGGAGTTTGCATGTGCAGGCTGTGTGTGTTTAATATGTGCATGTTTCAGGGGGGTTTGCGGGAGGCTGTACTGTAGCTGTGTGCTAATTTGTGAATGCAGAACTCGGGTAACTCCTTTGCTGAACCTATATAGATAGAATGGGTATTGTCATGATTAGCAGACCTAAATAGCAGCCTGCCTCATGGGATGGTGTACATGAGGAGATTTATGTTCTGTCCTGTAGACAAGTGCATTTGTCTCTTTCCTTCTCTCTGTTATCTCTGTAAATGGATTGTAAATTACAATAGTGATTTTCATGGTGATGGTAATATTGGTAAAATCCACCTGAGAAAGAAGTTCTCTAGCAACATGTTCTTGTTTTGCAGTCTAAATCTTGCCTGCTGCACCCATGTCTGATTTAGGGAGGCATAATTTCTTCATTTCTCCAGGGAACTTAAAAAGGGGGGCCAGGGAGAAGGTATGGGAAGAAGGAGATATGTACACATGGTCACAGTACAGCATGACCAGTCCCTGCTGTGAGGTGCTGATGGTTTCTGACAGTGCAGCTTTGCTGCTGACTGCCCTACCTCTTTTATTATAGAAATGTAAAAGATGGTACTTAACACGGGATGTTTCAAATGTTGCCATTACATTCCCTCCAAACTTTGCAAGCCTATTCCTCTGCTTGTTGGGTCTAATTTGATACTAAATGATGCTGACTTGACTGCTTTTATATTACAAAGGTCTTAGTTGGAGGTGCCTTACTTCATTTCCATATGTTGAACTGAGCACAGTCTTCCCTGGTCCCTGCTCTGAAATATCACTGCTTTTCCACAGTCCCTGGAGATGAAGAACATTCATCTGTGCATATGGGAGTTAGATACAGATAGACACACTGAAATGAGCCTTTCCTCATTTCTCCATGGAGGCAGCTTGTCCCTGGGCTCCCTGCAGCACCGCACCCGAGCTGTGGCTGCTCCAGCCCGAGACCTGGTGCTTGTAGCAATGCCTCCACACTGTGAGAAATAAATGAAACGTGCCAGTAGTCCATGCTCATGGCCCTGCCAGCAAAAAACTAAAAGGGAGAAGGCATTTTGGGGGTCAGGGAGTCCTTGGGCAGCATCCAGGCTGAGCAGCAGGAGGGCTTCATCCCTCAGGACAAAGAGAGGAGGGACACAGGCAGCAGTGGTTATCTGAAAAGCCCAAGTCTAAGGGCTGCTGGAGGGAGAACAGCTTTCCCTGCTGCTTTGGCAGCACCTGGGCTGAGGTGTGAATAGAGCAGCAGCTGATGACAGGGCCAGCAGAGGTACCCACATGGGATTTCAGCAGCCATGTGACCACTGGGGCTTTCATCTCCCTTAAAATCACTTGAAGTGGTTGCAGGGAGAGGAAGAGCAATGTAAAATGCAGTCACTGCTGAGGAAAGGGAATGGTTATTGTAATACTGGAGCATTGTTTAGGGAAAATTCTAGGTGACCCAGTAAAGAAAAGGCTTTAAAAGATTTAGCTGCTTAATCCTGTTTATCTGCTGTTAGATCTTCACAAAACCTCCTAGAGAGATTCAGAGCAGCATCTGAATGTTCAGACCTCACCCAGTGACTCAACAGCTCCTCTTTCTCAACTTGGAGTTTGGAAAAGAGGGACTGTGCAGCTCACTGTATGTAATTGCTCCAACTAATGAGCAGCAGTCTTTTTTTTTTTTCGTAAACATCCAACAATCTTTACTTTTGCATGATTAAAACGTTCAAATAGTTCTGGTTAATAACCTGGAAAATGGTCTGTGCTGTCTCCCAGATGAAGTACAGCTCTGGAATGAACTGAAAATGTTTTAATGGTGGTGTATTTTGTAATTATTCTGTGGCTTTCATTCTGCTTTCACCTTTGGTGAGATGTTTTCCCTCAAAGGACGCTTAAAGCAATTCTTTCATCTTCCACTAAATGCAGAAATTCAGGTGGAGATGGATCCAAGCTCTGTCTAGAATTCGGAAAATAACCATATAAATTGGACCAGAAAAACTATTTATGGGGTGATATTTGATCTACAACTTAAATTTCCAGTGTGTTACTGGCATTCTGTTGATTCTGTTGTGTGAAACATAAACATGGTCATGGTTTGCAATAAATGGAAGGTCTCCAGAGCCAAGTGGCTGAAGTCACATTAATATCTACTATCCTCTGTTCAACAGAGTTTTTCTGTGACATTTATAATAATATCTTGTTGATATTATTAAAATGTAAGGGATTATTTTTCCCCTCTTTGTCATCTTACGAGGCTGTGGCTGTTGCTTCTGAAAAAAAAAAGGTGACTTATTAAACTCAGGCTGTATGTTTTTAAGATGTCTGTGGAGGTGCAAAGACACTTATGTCAGTGATGTGTTCCTCTGAGAAGGTATCAGCATTTGCTGTGCAGACACCTATTGGGCTGTTTCATTTTGTTAGCAGAGACTTGACGCCACAAAAAAAAAATTGCTTTAAAAATGAATGTGTTGTCATATGGGATACTGAGGTGATGAACCATAATTACATGCAGACCCAGATTTCTTCCTTTGTACTTGTATTCTTGATGTTATTTGTGAGGTACGATGGGACTTCAGTTTGACTTTTTAAACAACAGTTCCTGTGGTTTTTTTCCCCTTTGTATCTGTGTGGTGTGCCAAAATTCAGTCTTTGGTTGACTCTCTGAAGGAACTGATGAAGATAGTTATGTACACATTTGCAAAGTCCTTCTCTCTGGAAACAGACGCCTTTTTGTGGTCACCAGGGGCCACATCCCTGAGCTACTCTTGGGTCAGATTCCCCTCCCTGCACATCCCCAGTGTTTTGCCCAGCATGTCAGAACCTCCAAGTCCAGCTCTGTGCAAGAGTTTCCTCCCCAGGCATTCATCTGCATGTGTTGCCTGCTGAAACTCCTTGCCCAAACTGTTAGATCCCAGATTTTATTTGTATATAGTTTTGTTTGGAGTGCACACAGAAATACATGGGTTGGGATCTGGAGACTGCTGTCCTCACCAATGCCTCACCTGTGTGGGGAGAGGAAAAGTTCAACTGGGCGTACATGAACAGGTGGAAAAACCCCAGGCTTTCTGTGGTACTTAGAAACCAAATAAAAAAAAAAAAAGACAAGGTGAAAATAGCAACATGACTAATCCCAGGAACATCAGTATTGTTTATAACCTTTAGATATAGGTGCACCCAGTAACAGTTGTTAGAATTGCAAAGAGAAGTTTGTCTCAAATAATTGCTGGAAGTACCACAGAAAGTGGAGAAAGGAGAAGTAGCACTTCTCACAGAAAAGCAAAATCATAGAAATAGCTACTCAAAATAAATAATTGTATTTTGTTTTTTGCTAAAGGTGCTGTTCTTGTCAGACCTCATCAAATGCAGCAGTGGTGTTGGGTAACTAAGCACAGTGATTTGCCTAGTGATGGCATCAATGCTGTGGCATGGCCTACACTTCAGGTACCAGGAGCTCTCCCTGGAGACCCTGGCAGGCAGCTGGGCACGTTTCCATTGGGATTTTTGTCCCTTGGCCAGGTGCTGGTCTGTCACCTCCCGGTGCTTTCCCATGGGGAGGCCGGGCACCAGCTCACACCCGTGTTTACTGCAAGGTCCAAGCTTGGGCTTCCCCTTCTTTTGCTGCAGACCCTTTGGAAGTCCTTCAGCTCGTGGCTTTCCCTGCTGCTTTTCTTCTGCTCACGTGTCTCTTCCCTCTGTGTTTTCCCAGCCGCTGGGCCAGCCGCAGCGCCACCACGCAGCGCAGGAAGGACCGCCTGCGGCAGCACTCGGAGCACATCGGGCTGGACAACGACATGAGGGAGGTGGGTGGCCTCGTCTGAGGGCAGCACGAGCTGTGATCCAGGAGGTGGAGGTTTGGACAGCAATGTGCTGGTTACTTGGGGCAGTTTTGTGGCTACTGTGTGGTTTGGTTGGGTCTCTGTAGCCGTTTGGATGCCGCTCCGCTTGTCACTGATGCTGTACAACTTCAAAGCACCAACATAAATGAAGTGCTTTTATTATTTTGGAACAAGACAGCCCCTTTGTCATCAGGGAAATGATTTGCTGATTTAGACCCTGGCTGTGTTACTGCACACAGACAGCAGAGCCTGGCAATGCATCTGCCAAACTCTGGCCAGGGTGGAAGTCTCTGGAAAAGTCAAGTCCTTGAATAAATGTCAGCCATATAGAAGTGAATAATGCAGGATTCTTCCTTTTTTTTTTAAAGGAACTTTTTTTTTCCCCTTTCTCTTACGTAGATTTCTGACATGAGTATGCCTGTTTGAAAGGTTAAGACTTTGGGGCCTTTTTATGCCTGAAGCTTGGAAACTCCCATGCATCTTGTAAATGTCAGTCACATACATGTGTTTCTTTCCCATCTTTTCAGTTCCTCATCCTTCATGAAATGTTTTCTGCCACATTTTTCCATTGATGTCCATATGCTTCTATTGTATGTCACTAGCAAAAATATAACACTCATGCTGTTTTGTGGTAAAACTCGCTCAGTAAAGCTGGGCTGCGTTGGAGTTTGCTCTCCAAAAGAACCTGAGTGGATGAGAGGACTCTTCAACCATAGCTTTGAATGATGTTTCATGGAAACACAGCAAAACAGCACTTGTACCTGTTTGTTGCTATTTTTGCTAACATGGCTTTGCAAGTATATTTTAAGCAGTGCCTCTGGCGTGTATATGGCAGCAGAGCCTTCTCAGTACTTTGTCACGTATTTACTTTCTTCTTTTTTTTTGGCTGTGGATCATATGCATGCTTCTTTTGCTTTGTCTCCTCTTTCTTTCTGGCTGTTCTGCCATTGGGGCATCTGCCTCCTCTTAGCCATCGGAGGAGCTTTTGCTTCGTCAGAACTCAATGGCCTTCTGGGAGTGGGATCAGGGACCACCCCCTCCTGCACGGCCTCCTAAAAAATCCTTCTCTGAATGCTGCCTGGTATGTTGTAGTTTTTCTTGTTGAAAGCTGCTTTTGAGATGTTGTTAGCATGAGGAACCTGTGTCTTTGCTGCGTCTCAAACCTGCTCCTTTCTTGTAGAGATGAGCACGTCCCTGTAGCGCTTGGAAGTGTGGTTATAATCGGAAAAGTAGCTGGAAAGGAGCTTCCACACCAGCTCCCTGGAAAACATATTGGTTCCAAGGCTAAAAGACAAGAATTTGTTTAGCTTTGAGATTTTTTTCCCCCCCATGTTGCTCACCTGGCAATTCAGTTTAGGGTGTCCCATCCCAAGAGCATTGCTTTATGGATGCTGGAACAGACAAAGGGCAATCAGCTGATTCTGTCAGCCCACCCTTAGTTTTTTCTGGAACCTTAGAGTTTTTTGGGTTTTTTTAAAAATTTGAATATAGTAAGGAGCTATATAATGAATAAGGTTATCTGTGTTTTGTACTCTTCAGACTATAACCACACTTTTTATCCCTTCACATTTAGAAAGAACGAATAATTTTTCTAGTTATGTATTCCCTATATTACTTTTTACTTATTTTGCTGTTAATTTTTGCATTGCGATGGAAGTCACTTATGAGTTTGCTTGCTGAACAGCATGCTTTCATTGTCTGTAACTTTTTTTCATTTATTCCCACCAGTAGTTTTTGATCTATTATAAAATCCTTACTGTATTTTTGAAACTGTAGTTACCTAACTGAGGATTTCAGTGGAACACAGCTTTTTCATGGCAGAACCCTACATTCTTGTCTGGCCTGTTAGGGTGATGCTAAGTGGTTCTTGTCCAACTTTCTGATTGCATCAGAAAAACTGTACTCCTATTTGAAAAAAAAAAAGGCGGTGGGGAGCTATTTGCTATTTCAATTAACTTCAATGTGTTAAGATATTGGTTGTGCTTTTCCTTATCTACTGGAAGGTGTCCATGGCCACGGCAGAAAGTTTGGAACTATGTGATGTTTAAGGTCCCTTCCAACCCAAACCATTCTGTTTTTCTATGGAATAAATTTTCTGCCCAGACAGAAAGCTTTAAGGATGCAGCAGCCATAGTGACCTCTCAGTTCCCCAGAAAACCCAGCCAGCAGCAGCAAGAAATCCCTGGAGGGATGTGATCTGCTGCTTCCAGGAAAGACTGGTCATTGTCGCATACCATCCCCCAGAGAGGCATCATTAACAGGACAAAAACTCACAGTGGAAACAGAGCATTCCCACACCAGGCTATGAATCCTGTTTTTCAAGACTTTTATTTGGCCATATTCTACTATCATGCTCTTTTTAAGACAAAATTACGAATAATGCTCAAACAACATTTTGCTAGTTGTGGCCAACTTCTCAGCCTTGCTCAGGATGTAACTCTCTGGCTGATGCTGGGGTCAGAGGTCATGTGCTGATTGGTTTGTGGATTTTGGCTTCACAGAAAAAAAACAAAAACAACCAAACAAAAAACAGACCAAAGAAAAAAATACCCTACCCCTGAAGATAAGGCAGTGGAACAGGAAAGTTTGAAAGTCTTCAGTTATCGCTTGGATCTTTTTCTAAAAGAGTATGCTGATTTTTGTCGATACTTTACAATTACCATACTAAGAACATGAATGATCCCAAGTGTCAATTCTGTTTAAAATGAGCTTCACTTGTAATCAAGAAGTTAATTGAGAATAAGATCAAGTCTCATTTTTCCTGCATAAACGATCTAGATTAAAAGTAATGGATGAAATCTTTCTCATTCACTAAATGTATTTCTGCATCTTATAATTTATTTTCAGGAGGTTTTTTCTATTCATGTGTAGCCTGAAAATTAGGAATTTTTTTTTAAAAGTGGAAAATAACAGTGGAAAGAAACTTTCTTGGTGTTTTGGCTTTATTGCTGAATGAAGGTATTACACTGTACGCACTTGTACCTAACTTCATGCTAGTGACTAACAGCACAGTTCACTGGCTAATATTGACTGATTCTGTACCAATCCAGGGAAATATCTTGCTTTTTCTGTTGTCAAAATGGATCATTTCCCTTCTCCAGCCTGACACCTAAACATCAGACAAATTAAGACACTGTTTCTAGATTAATACTAGTTCATTTGTTTTCATCACCTTGCTTGCCTAGGATGAGGAGAGTCACTCTGACCTGTAATATCTAAAATTATTCTCTTTATTTTTAGAAATACATGCAGGAGGCAAGGAGTTTAGGTAAAAATTTAAGGCAGCCCAAACTATCAGACCTCTCTCCAGCTGTGATTGCACAGACCAACTGGAAATTTGTGGAAGGACTACTGAAGGAATGTCGCATGAAGGTAGGTCATCCCCTGGGTGCTCTCCCCTGGACTGCAGTGAGCTCAAAGAGCACCTGTAGATGTTCTCCTGGTTTACAGCTGGAATGGCATGGCTCTTTTGGAATACCTGGTTACTGCAGGATGGATAGCCCTGTAGTGTTTTTCGACAGCTGGAAGAGAAAGGAACATGTTTTCACAGGAACGTGTTTTTGCTCTTCTGTTTATGCAGTTGAAGTTGATGGAAGTAGAAAGGACAGGAAGGAGATTCAGCATGACCAGACATCTTCTGGAGGATTTCCTTTAATTGTTCATATTTACATGTAGCCTAAACAGAATGGCCTGGAGATCTATGGTCAAAAGGGAAGAATTCAGCATGTGTGGCTTGTGCATGTTGTTTATGTAGAGCAAATTAAGAGTAAAGTTCCTGGTATTAAAGAAACTTTCATAGCCATGAACATACAACTTCTTTATGTCTGTTGCAGTTGGTAGCATACTCCTTTACCTGAGTGTTAAACTTTACTAGCTGTGACAAGAATTAAAACAGAAGCTAAGTAAGACGGAACATGTATTCTGAACTCTGCTTGGTAATAAATCACCAGCATGGAAATAGGACAATGGATAAAGGGTATAGAAGTAGGACAGCTGGAACAGGCTCCCCAGGGAAGCGGTCACAGCACCAAGTCTGCCAGAGTTCAAGATGTATTTGGACAATGCTCTCAGACACATGGTGTGACTCTCGGGGCTGTCTTGTGCAGGCACAGGAGCTGAACGCGGTCTTGCTGGGTATTCTGTGATTCAAAGTAATTAAGCAAATTTTTTTACATATATATACATATAATTATTTTTGTTAATTTACGGTCTCTGCAAATAGATTTGAAGTTTCTCTCTATTAGCCATGGTCTCTAGATTAAGCGTGTTAGTAAACTTATCTGTAAATTCTGTTCCTTGTAGGATAACATTCTTAGAAACTGTTGAGATTTTTTTTTGTTTTTTGATAGACTAAACGCATGTTGGTAGAAAAAATGGGCCATGAAGCAGTTGAGCTGGGACATGGAGAAGCCAACATAACAGGTCTGGAGGAAAATACACTGATTGCCAGTCTCTGTGATCTGCTAGAAAGAATCTGGAGCCATGGTCTGCAGGTCAAGCAGGTTGGTAAATACTCAAAGTCATCTCTGCTTCCTAAGCTGCTACTCAATGGTGTAACTCCCAAGATAAAGCAGGCGATGTCTTTGGGATCAGTGTCCCTGGTTCATATTTTGCAAAGTTTTCAGGAGTTTTGGGTGTTTGGGTTTTTTGAGGGGGGATTGTTTTGGGGTTTTCCCCTCTGGAAATTGCAGTGATGTTGTCAAGTACGTGTTTGGTTTGTTCCCTTTCAACCTTCACAAAGGAAACCCGGGGGAGGACAAACAAACAAGATAGGTGTTGTGACTGCTGAATCAGTGGGGTGGTTCTCTTTGTGAGGTTTGATGGCCCAAAAGAGAAGGATTGGCTTTCAATACTGACCATTTTACCCATTCAAATGCCATTCCATTATTCTGCCATGTTTATTGGCCATTGCTGGTTATTTTTTTTTGCCTGGTTTATTTAAAGCAATGTAGTATCTATTCCATTTTCAGGGGAAATCTGCATTGTGGTCCCATTTGCTTCAGTATCAGGAGAGAGAAGAGAAGCAGGAGCACAGTGCAGAGTCCCCAGGTGAGTACTTGGCATGTGATTCCATGAGAAGTCCATCACACCAAATGAACTCAGCCATGGGAAGAACAGTGCAACCACATGAAACCCCGTGCAGGATTTTCAGTGTATTTGCTTGCAAATACCACATTTACATTTTGAGATTTCTCGTAATCATTGTGGGGGGTGTCTTGATATCTGGACAAAATGGATTGAAGTCACTGGAGGCAAAGAAACATAGTTTCCATCCTTGTCTGGAAAATCACTTGGTGTATGTGCACTACCTTCATTCCCTTTTAATGAGCATGGAGTGAAGTATGAGAATCGGTGTCTCCATGAGAGATAATTTCTGAAGAAGCTGAAAGTGTGGAGCTGGGAATAAGAGAGCTGACATTTTTATTTCAGTGAGCATAATCTGTCTCTCAAATCCCAATAACTCCATGTTCAGCAAATCTTTATACTGGTGGGTGGTACAGTTCAGAAATTGTGTACTTGATCTCTGTCCGTCAGTCTAGGTGCTCAATTTATGCATTGGCTTGGCCCTTTACAATCACTAAATTACTTCTGATAACCTTGAGATGTCCCTGCCCATTGGCTGGGATATTGCAGTAAAAGTCTCTGAACTTCAGTGGGTAATCTTACAAGGACTCTCCAATTCAGATCCTACAGATGGAAACTTGTACGATCAGTCCTCAAAGAGGCATTTATGGACAAACTAGTGTCTCCCATGAAAGGACTTTTTAATAAGCTTATGTGAGTAATGCACTAAACAATCTGGCTGGCAGGCACAAATTCCTGAGAGCAGAATGTGTCACCACAAAGTGGTTTGATCAGAGCAGAGCACAGAAATGCATAGCATTCTTTGCATTGAATTTGTTACTGTAGCTTGATTTTATTTGAGTTGTTCTCAATTGTGAGCTTTCCACAGAAGCTTCTTACTAATAAAACTCACTGCTGTACAGATTTAAGGTATTTCACATACAAAAAAGGAAGCTAGATCTCCCAAGTGCATTGCTGAGTTAAGGAAGGAATAGGTAATATATATTCAGAATTTTCATTTTGTCTACTTCTACATTTCCAGGATAGAGTTAATGACAATGCATAGAAACAGTGCAGTTACCAGCCACTTAAGATTGTTTTCAGCTGTATGTAGAACAAATGCATTGCAGACTATTACTGTAGTGTTGTGTTAACTGTGTATTTTCTCCACTGTAGTTGGTGGTGGAACAGAAAGACGAAAGTCTGATACAGGAATTACTCTGCCTACATTGAGGGTTTCCCTGATACAAGATATGAGGTATGCAATTTGGTTCCTAAAACATGAATTGTGTGTTTAATTGTGTAGCATAAAGTAAAGATCCTCACTGGTTTTGGGTTTACAAAGGCTAAGGAGAATTAAACCTTCTGTTCAGCCCACATTCAAATCTATAACATGTTGCCTTTCTGTTTTGAAAAACTTTGTTGTGTGTTCACTTGATCTTTTTTAGCGAACAGAGAATGAAAACCACACATATATTTCTGTAATTTCTGTATTCCTGAGGGAGTTCTTCAGTAATAAAACCAGCTTCTACAAATAACAGCAAATAAGTTAAATTCCTTGGTATTTCCAGTTTGTTTCTTTCAGTTCATTTTTTAATTACTGACCCAGCAAGTACAGTTGATAGGCAAAGTGAAGGGACATAAAAACCGGTTCACAATGCCTGAGCAATATTATTTCTTTTCAACTAGCATTTCATGGCAGAAAATAATAAATGTAAAAGTTTAGAAGTTCAATCTGACCTAGAATTTGTATGAGTTTACAGCTGGGATGTGAAGTTAGGGCAGGTTCTCTCCAGTGGACCACAGCCTGGCTCTGGAGACCTTTTCAAGCAGCGTTTGTTTGGAACCAGAAGGATTAGAGAGTCAGAAGAGGTGGAGGCTGGCGTGGCAACAGCAGGCAGAAGTTCTTCAGGACATCTCCTTGATTAGGCCACTGCCAGGTCAGGCCACTCTTTTGACACTTGTCTTGCCAGGGCTAAGGATTGCAGTGGGATAAACATGCCATGAAAAGGGAGGAGTAATGCAGTAATGCTCATCTGTAAAGAACTGAGAGCAATTAAACATGTAAGACAACATGAATACTGTTTCTTACGTTCTTCTTACACCTAAAAATATGGCAAAAGAACCTTAGGGTAAAAAATAAGATGTATTGTAGTTAGTTCACAAAACCCTGATTAGAGTGATGTGATTTTTACTATGTGGGTTGATAGATTAGTCAGATATTTCTGGGGGAAAAAAAATCACTGTACTCCCCACCTGCAGTGTGCAACCTTTTAGTTTGCTGCTTTGTGGTTTGAGTCTTTTGTTCTGATTTCAAAGAGCATGACATGCCACGTACTGCTAAAACAACATGTAAAAGAGGGAGAGAGAATACATACAGTGTAATCAGGGGCGTAGTGGCAAGAGGTCATTTTGAACATGTGTCTGCCATTTTAGCATCCCTCTCATGGGATGTGGCAGCTCTGTCCTTAATTCAGTCCTGGGAGACTGACAGGCGTGTAGAGGGTCAGTCTGAGGGAAGGATGAAGGAGGATCTGGAGCGGAAACTCCTGTGCTGGGGGGGTTGCTGACAGAGGAGGCTCTGTGTGCTCACTGCTGCGTGCATGGGTTCTGTCTTCCACGAGCTTCCACTGGAGTAATGAAAGCCCAGCACAGATCTGAGCTCTCTTGTTTGAATCACAACAGTCTGTCTTGCTGCTCTTCAGAGGAAAAGTACAGAAGCAGAACGTTACCTTTTGTAATATTTTGGGTATTTGTGATTGTCCACAAACATGTCTGGTCGTAGAATAATGCTGGGCAGAGTTGAATTTGTCATCTGCAATCTGGAGGCATACTTTCTCCTGCTTGGAAAGAATGCTACCTAATATGCGTTTGCACACCAGGCTGAAGTTGAAGGATGGGTAATTGTTAAATTGCAGGGCTTGTGGTGCTGACTGAGCTAATGGCTGGAGGATTAAGCATTGCCTTAAGCAGGGCTTGTTTCTGATGGCTCATGCAAGTTATGTAAACAACTTAAAAGCAGGCTGAGTCACAGTCATGCTCTGAGTGCTCCACGTGCTACAGGTGGTGTGTCCTCTGCCCCCCCACCAAAAGCCAGGCATCACAGATGTGGTCAGGAAGATGCTCAGGCTGTTTGTTTTGGTCCTGTGCATGGAATCTCAGTGGCACAAGGCAGCCTGGGGGTTATCCCTCCAGCCTTTCCCCTGGCACAGATCTGCCTCATCTCTCCAACCCCTCTTCCAGCTGGAGCCTGCTTCCAGCATGGTCTCACCCTTCAGGTATTGCTGAGCATCCAACCAAGCCAGTCAACATCAAGACCTCCCCAAAACCTTTGGTCCAGCTGGATTTCAAGTTTCTGATCCTTCCTCTTTGGGCAAGCTCTTCCTTGCTATCAGCACTTGCTCTCATGCCCATGTCATGCCTCTCTCCTCAGGGAGCTTGCACTGGAGGATGTGAGCTGGCCACTGGGCCCTCAGCAGGGATGCTTAACCTGCTGTGTTCAAAAAGAAGGCTGAGCAAAGACCTGCTGCCTGTCTGGGATGAGCTATAGGCTCCTTCCTGACTGTGCTGCCATGGGAGCGTGCCCAGCATCCCCGGGGCACGGCGGTGCTGGGAGCTGTAACCTCTGCTGTCAGCACAGCTGTTTGCACAGGGTTTGTCTCACCATACCTCAGGCTTACATTTGACAGGGCAAATAGATTTTTCTTTATTACTGATGGGATTAAAAGCAAGTCCAAACCAGGGGAGTTGCATCTAAATGGCTGTTCAGTGCTATGACAAGAAGAATTTGCTGTGCAGTGGTGAGCATACGGTGCTTACACTTAGGTCACTGATAAAAATAGAGCTGTTCTGACTCTCACAACTGACAGTGAAATAAATTTGAGTTCCTGCATGCTCTGTTCTGTTATGTTCTGCTTTTGCTGACACCAAGACCGATTACTGAATCTTTTTAATATCTCTGGCAAGCTGCATGCTTGCAGATAGTTATTTTTTTTCCCAAATGCACAATTAATGCTTATCTAGTCTGAACCAGATACAGGTAATGAAGAGGCACAGAGCGTGCATGGAATGAGGTTGAGTCCATCTGTACTTGAATCTTCTCACAGTGAAATAACATATTCTGCTCGGTGTTTTATATTAGATGTAATTCAAGCTGAGCACTTGGGGGAAGGGGAGGGAGATGATAGTCTGTGCTTTGATCTTCCCATCTCAAAAGGCTTGAAATGTCTGAGGAGAGTGTCTCAACATGATGTAGATGACTGTAGCATGCATCCTGTTTCTCAAGGACTACAGATCACGTGCCCAGCACTCTGCTGGAAAGTCTAATGCCAGCTGCCATGCTCTGAGCCAGGAAGGGTTTTCCTGTGCCAGGAGCAGGGCTTCAGCCTTGCAGGTCAGCCTGGCACAGAGCAGGGCTGCTGGGCTCTGTATGCTTTTCATTTGTGCAGAGAAAACTCCGATTTCTGGACAGCTCCAAGTTGTTCTTTGCAAATTTGCCCTAAAGGTCCTGGGCCTGCTCCTTTAGAGGCTCTGTAAACAAGAGAGTAATTTTCTCAAATAGTGCAGGGACTAAATATAACACAAAGCACACACTTGGGTGTAACAGATGGGGGAAAGCACGAGACTATAGCAGTCAATGTAAAAAGCATCAGTCACAGCACGACTTTGTTGGATTTCCTTTGGAGTAAATATTCCACAACACTCAGCAATGCGTGGAGGGCTGTCAAGGAAGTTGCAGGAGTTGGACAGTAAATTGCAACTGGGATTAGTTCAGACTTCAGCTGATTGGAGCCTGCCATGGAGATTCGGAGGGCTGAATTGCCTGTGCACTTAACATGCAGAATGCATGAAAATTAAGAAATTTGAGCCTTTTCTTTCCCTTGCTGAAAACTGTTACTAATTTTTCTTGGGGTTTTTTTTTTTCAACCAAGTGGGGAGTTTTTGGAAGCAACTTTGTCCTGCCATGGCAGTTCTCTTCCTCTTCTAAAACTCCCTGTGCTCTGAAGCTAGAGTTTTTGGCATTCTCCAAACTGAAATGTGTGAAGCTTAAAAAGAAAAAAAGAAAAGCATAACTGTAGAAGAAAGCCCCTATGGAACAGTTCTACTTTCCTACAGATGAAACATATGGAGGGCTGTTCAAATTATCACTTACAGGAAGGCTTCTTATATCCCTAAAAATGTGATTCTGCTTGCAGCTTCCTGCTGCTGTTTTTGTCTCAGCAGTCCTCCTTTTCTCAGTTGTGCCATTGCTGCTGCTCTCAAGGGGTTTTGTTAGAACCTTCAGAGCCACTGTGGCTTGGAGAAACTCTCAGGACAAGTGTTTGTCCTCTGCCCTCCCAGACACACTCGTTCAAGTCAGCAGCTTGAGGTGGCAGCTGAGATGTAACTGGGTCTCACAAGGTGCCTGCTTTTTTTAAGTCCTACCACAGGCAATGCAGGGGTAAACAGGTTTACCCCTCCTCACCTTGGCCAGGCAGCCACAGAGCAGCTCCTATGGGCTGCCATGCCCAGGAAAAGCTGCCACGTGTGCTCGTGCCAGCCTGGGGCTGCCAGGGATCTCAGTGCAGGGTTCTGGGGGCCCTGCTGGGGAGCTCTCCAGAAATTTTGTCAGAAGACATTTTCCGGTTCACTTTTTTTCATCATCACACTGGACATGCCCAGGAAAAGCTGCCACGTGTGCTCGTGCCAGCCTGGGGCTGCCAGGGATCTCAGTGCAGGGTTCTGGGGGCCCTGCTGGGGAGCTCTCCAGAAATTATGTCAGAAGACATTTTCAGTTCACTTTTTTGCATCATCACACTGGGTGTTGCCATTTGAAGCATGCAGAATTTTTATGATTCATCTATTTATTTTCTTCCCCACACATTTCAGGCACGTTCAGAACATGAGTGAGATAAAGACTGATGTGGGGCGCGCCCGAGCCTGGATAAGACTTTCTCTGGAGAAGAAGCTTTTGTCTCAGCACCTGAAGCAGCTGCTTTCCAACCAGGCACTTGCAAAGTAAGCCAGCTCATTTCTTCAAACCTTCACTTTCATGTTCTGAAGGTGGTGTCTCAAGGTGCTGCTGCTTGGGAGAGGTGCACTGTCCACCCAGCAGGGCAGAAGTCTGCTCACCTGCATGGAAGCACGTCACAGATTTCGGGAAGGAGGCAGATCTTGGTCAGATCCCTGCACTGATCCAAGCCACACTGCAGCCCTGCAGATCTTGAGCTGACAGAGTGGTGGGAGCTGCTGCTTGGTACATTCTGCTGGTTTTCTGTCACAGTAGGGAGCAGCAGGAAGATGTGGTTATTAGATGAGACCATTCCACAGTGAGAAGGTATGGGGAAGAAATGAGGTTGCTGTATGTTGGTTCAGATCTGCTGCTGTGAGTAGTGTTAGTTTTTACCTGTGCTTTGCAGCAAATCCCAAACTGAGATTAACTCAGCAGCCTTGCTGTGGGAGTGTGGAGCCAAGAGTGCTCTGTAAAACATCTGTAGCACATTTACATGTCCTCTGTGGGTTTCCAGTGGCTTCTGTTGTTGGGGAGTCATACCTCCCATTAAGAGCCTTCATTTGGTGTTTTGAGATTCAAACATATTTTAAGATACTTGGTGCTTTTTCAACAGCAACAACAAAAATGCCATGTGCTTGTTTCTCCCAGGAAACTTTACAAGCGTTACGCTTTCCTGCGCTGTGAAGAGGAACGGGAGCAGTTTCTGTATCACCTGCTCTCACTCAATGCTGTGGATTACTTCTGCTTCACAAGTGTCTTCACTACAATCAGTGAGTTGGAGAATCAATTTTTTTCCCCCTGACTAAAAATTAGTTGCTGTCATGGTTTGTAAGAGATGATGTTGCTGGTGCCTGAGTAGCTGAGCCCTTATCTGGAGCCTTGGTTGTTGCTGCAGGGCTCCTGGGTGCTGGGTGTTGCTCTGGGAAACCAGCTGGGGAGCCAAGGTTGTGTGGGAGTGCTCTGGATAAGAGCATTGCACAAAGGAGAATAATCAGCAGGGAGTGCTGCTCTCTGTGCAGTTCCTTTCAGCTTCCCTCCCAGACAAGTTCTCTGTCTCCTAATGCTTCTTTCTGGCCCTCATTAAGTGTGCATCCTAGCAGTCTGCTCTCCTCAGACTGAGGAGGAGATGGAAGATTGGAGGATGAAATACTTTGTGCTCTTCTTTGTATCTTAAATCTCTTTTTGTCTCTTCTTAAATGCCAGAAGGATTCCCTTTCTCACTCTCTCTTCTAAGGAGAAGAGCAGAGATTGGATTGATATCTGGAAATTAGTCTTTGTCTCTCCAGTACTAGACAATGCAGAAAAAGCAAAATCCCATTAGATGACCTAATTATTTGGATTCACCTGGGCAGCCATTATTTTTAATTTTCCTGCCTGTTCAGAGTGAAGTGAAGCAAGTTTTACATGGCTGTCAAAACAGGCACTCATTCTACTTTTTCTCCTCTTAAAGCAAAAAATCCCTCATAACTACCACAGCACAAAGAGATTTATTCATCCTTGATTACCTTATTTCTGTGGGGCATCCAGCTTTACAGCTTTCTTCTGTAGGACAAGTGCTTGGAATTTGAGGGTATTTTTTGAGTTCAGTATGATTGGCTGGCACACAAAAGTAAAAGAGGCTGGCTTAGCTTCCCCAGTCCAAAAGGCAGCTTGTGAAACATACGTGAAGAGTGGGTCTTGCAGTGCTGGAGGTGCAGTGTCAGAGTCAAATCGAAATTGGGCTGGGTGGCAGTCCTTGTCTTCAGCATGGATGGGTGGTACAGATTGAAAAGCAGAAGAGTAAGAGAATAAGAACAGGAATACAAATAAAGAAGGCGATGTCCACAGGGACAGACCAGACCTGAGAGACTGGCTGTGGTGTTAGCAGCCATGCCAGCATTTCCTGTTGCAGCCTTTCAGTACTTGAAGGGGCCTATATAAAAGGTGGGAACAAACATTTTATCATTTACCTGTAGATAAATGATAAAATGCAGTAGGATATGGGGTGATTCTTTTAAACTAAAAGGGGGTCAATTTAGGCTAGATATCAGCCATGCCAGCATTTCCTGTTGCAGCCTTTCAGTACTTGAAGGGGCCTATATAAAAGATGGGAACAAACATTTTACCTGTTGCGGTAGGACATGGAGTCATTCTTTTAAACTAAAAGGGGGTCAATTCAGGCTGGATACAAGGGTTGTTTTTACGTTTTGGGTAGTGAGATGCTGTCGGAGGGGATGGGGTGGGATGCCCCATCCCTGGGAGTGTTCACAGTCAGCTTGGACGGTGCTGCGAGCAGTAAAAGGGGGTCAATTTAGGCTAGATATAAGGGTTGTTTTTACGTTTTGGGTAGTGAGATGCTGTTGGAGGGGATGGGGTGGGATGCCCCATCCCTGGGAGTGTTCACAGTCGGCTTGGACAGGGCTCTGGTTGAAGATGGTCCTGCTCTGGTTGAAGATGGTCCTGCTCACTGCAGGACTAGATGGCCTCTAAAGGCTCCTTCCAGAGCAGCTGTTGAACGGCTGTGCCCCTCCTTTGCCGTGCCCTGCCCCGTCCTCCCGTGGGCGGCTCCGTGCCGGCTGTGCCGCGGGGCTGCAGCTCCACCGTGCGGCTCCGCTGCCCCCGCCCGCCCGCAGCCCTGGCCTGCGAGGGAAAGGCACAGTTTACCCCAGAATTTGCGATTACTGGAAGGAAAAAAAAATAAAAATATATATATATATATGTCAAGACTAACGCGCTTCCCCCTCTGCCTGTTCTCAGTGATCCCTTACAGGTCAGTGATAATTCCCATCAAAAAACTCAGCAATGCAATAACCACATCAAACCCGTGGATATGTGTGTCAGGAGAACTGGGAGACAGTGGCGTCATGCAGATTCCTAAAAACCACCTAGAAATGACGTTTGAGGTGAGTACGTGCTCTTCGCATTTTCCTTACAATTTGAAACATGCTTCCAAATTAATATTTATTTGTTAAGAGGTTTTTAAGAGCACAGCATTTCAGATTCTGTCCTGATTTTCAGCATCACTGTAGGTTCAAATATGTACAGGAAAATAGCCTGCCCCTCCTTGTGTGACATGAAGGTTTCCTGTGAGCACGCACTGCTTTTAACCACAGACCTTACTGCTGTCTTTGTCCAGCCCAGAATTCCTCACCTTGCCTATTTATTCCTACATCTCATTCCCTTCCACACCTCCTTGCCTAATTTTCCCTTTCAATGCTATTTCAGTGCTATTATTTCCAACTCCTCATCTCCCTTCCAAGTTTCTTTTCCCTTCTTTCACTCTGTCTTTCCACTAACCACCACCCAGGTCCCTTTTGACCTCTGGCCAGTCCCAAATTTCTTCTGAGACCATTTTCTGGCATTGCTCTTCAACATCCCAGCCTCAGGTGCTGTCCATGGCACACCAGGAGCTGCTATCCCCACTGGGCTCTCTCCCCTGGGCTTGCTGGGGTTTTCTCTTTGCTTTCCCCTCTGCTTTCCCACCCAGCAATTACAGGCTGGCTCGGTGCCATGCCAAAGCAGCTGGTGGAGGGAATTGCAGGGAAAGCCCCATCAAGCTCCTCTAGCTCTGGGCTGTACCACATCCATTAAGAAGTCATTTTGTAGGAAAATCTGCTACTGAAATTGAGGTTGCATCCACTGGGCATATGCAGACTGATCTTCAACAGCAATAGCAAAAAAAAAGCCTCTTACCAAATGCAGGTCAGTTTTGACAAAGAGAGGATATTTTTGAGATAAATGCCCACGTCTCATTCAGATATTACTGTTTTATAGAAAAGATCTCCAGGCTTCTAACAGGCAAAATGACATATTTAGATATTTCTAAGCACCATATTGATTCTGTTCTGGATTATTCCTTTGGCTGAAGCTTTCCTAAAATACCAACTTGGGTAGCCACCCACTCGTAGAAAATGTCAGCCCAAGCTGCTTGTTTGGCAGCATCTGAAGCAGTGAAAACCAAGGTATTTCAAGGGAAGGGTTTAGGTGAAGTTAACAGATGTTGTTGCCAGCCCCACCTACAATTGTATCTTGCACTGGAATTCACAGTGCCTTCTTCTCTGTCTTTGTGATGCTGAGTCTCATGTTAGTGATTTTTGTTTGGGCCAACAATAAGCAAATCATTCTTAGAAAATAATAAAGTATCTAGGGACTGCTGCGTAGTGTGGAGTGAGTCAGCTGGAGGTCAGTATGCTCCAAATGGATTTTTGAAAAGCTGTTTGTATTGAAGACCTATTTCTTCTGCAAACACACACCTTTTTATCACCTTACTCAGAAATGTGTAATTAATACTTCTCAGAAATATCCAGAGTGAGTGCTCCCAACAAAGAATGTAATCTCTCCACAAGCTTTTAACAGTTTTATTTCTTTTCTCTTGTCTTAAAATAATTATGCTGCTTTTGCAAATACTGTGTGTGTTTGGTTGAAAATACTTGTTCTATAAATCAAAGAACTAGAAAACTGAATAAAAGCCTATATTTGACCATATTGTGTGCATGTGGTGGGGGTGTGTGTTGTCTGTTCTTTTTTAAATGAAGCAAAAACTGTTACTCATTTCAGTGCCAGAACTTGGGGAAGCTGACGACTGTTCAGATTGGTCATGACAACTCAGGGCTGCTGGCCAAGTGGCTAGTTGATTGTGTCATGGTCAGGAATGAAATAACAGGACACACGTACAAGTAAGCAACAAGTCGTAATTTTCCTTGTCTGAAATTCCTGTTGAGTTTAGAGGAAGCAAGAAGGCATTCACCTTCTCCCTAACTCTGATTGCAGCTGATTTGGGTCCCTGATAGGGTTGGGTTGGTCTCCCCCACCCCCCTGCTTCTGTCATTTCAGTAGCCCTAGTTGAAGTCAGATAATCTGGATAAATATTTAATGAGATTTGAATGCAGGATTTTCTTTGCCTCTTTCTGAGACAGGACAGATAGTATGGATACTTTTGAAGTGATTTGTGTGTTTGTGTCTAATAATTAGATCTCTTGATTTAAAGTAGTGTGGTAAATTTGTGCACAAATTAACTCTTGAAACTCCAAGAACTGAAATGACGGTCTGGGGGAAATATTAAGAAAATAAGTTTTGATGATTTCTTAATCTTACATTGAGCACATTCCTATGTGTCAAAATGGTCTCCTAATTCACCACTGGTTTTACAAAACGTGGCTAAGCAGACAAAGTTTTTTTTAAAAAATGTGGACTCAGAAAGCTGCAATTCAGAGAGGTGAGCTCCAGATCTCAAAGTGGCCACGGTGTATAAGGGAAAGTAGGAGAACATGGGATATAATGACTGGGTATGGATGTGTGCGTGGATTTCATTAGGGTTGTGTATGGGATCCCAAGGTACAGCAGTAAAATGTGAGGTGAGGTCTGAGTATGAGGAGATGTCACAGCCTCAGCTGGGTGGAAATTCTGTGGGGATTTGGTTGTTAATCATCACAATGCTCTTAAAGGCTGCATATAGTTGTGGCTGCAAGTGCAAAATAACTCTGCAGAAAACAAGATGCAGACCATAAAACACATGTAACACAAGCTTCGCATATTTCCCTATTTCTAAGGATGCTCAGTTGTGATGCAGGGGCTGCTCCCGCAGAGCTCTGCTTGGTGAGAATTTTCTGGGAGCCAAGTATTCCCTGCCTGTTAGCAGTGTTGGTTGGGTGCCAGCTGTCCCCCAGCTTTGAGACCAGGCTGTGCTGTGTGTGTGGCTGAGCTGTGCTTGTCCTGGGTGCGCTGCAGGTTCCCCTGTGGGCGGTGGCTGGGAAAAGGCGTGGATGATGGCAGTCTGGAGCGAATCCTCATTGGAGAGCTGGTGTCCTCCACCTCTGACGAGGAGCTGGGGAAGCAGTGCCGCACCCCGCCCCAGCAGAAGTCTCCCACTGTGACTCGGCGCCTGAGCATCACTTCCCTCACAGGGAGGAACACCAGTAAGTCCTTGCCTTCCTCCCCAGGGCTGTAGGGAAGGGGTCAGCTGCCAACTGCTGGGGAAAAATGCTTCTGTGAGCAGGATGTGTTCATCCTGAAGCAGGGTTTGGTGCAGAGCAGCAGCTGCAAGCCGATGAGCTTTTCCTGCCTTCCCTGGTTGGTGTTTGCTCTGTGACGTACATGTTGCCTCTTTCAATGTCCCCTTTTGACTGTTGAGAGATAATAATCTCTTTCTTTGGAGCATGGAGATATGAGATGAGGGAGGAGGAGGCAGCAGAATTTGCAGTAGCTGATGCTGCTCAGCCTCCCAGCTCACTTTGCAGTCTGTGGGAAGACAGGCCTCTCTGAGGGCAGCTCAGAGCTTGGTGTGGCTGCTGTGAGCTGCCTTCTGGCAAAGCTTATCTCTGCAGGGACCCTAGGGCACATCGACCTCACATCCCTAAAATTAGCTTTTATGAGTAACTGCACTTGGCTGCAACAGGACACGGGACTGTGAGGGTCACAGGGGGCATTCTCTGCTAAAGCACAGAGATGGGACAGTGTAGGTCCTGTTCATACATCTGTCCAGCTCCTGTAAAATTAGAGGACATGAGTGCTGACGTGTCAAGCAAGCAAAGATTAACCTTCAGCTAGTCTGCTCTCCATCATTTCACAGAGCCTAATGCGGGGCAGATCCAAGAGGGAATCGGGGAAGCTGTGAACAACATTGTGAAACACTTCCACAAGCCAGAGAAAGAGGTAATTCCTACTTTTCATTACTTGCCTGCAAATTTTTATAAACAGAAATGGCACTGAAGTACCAGTAGATGTACTGCCTTTAGATCTGAAGTTTCTGGCATCCAAACAAGGCGAGTTGTACTTACCTGCTCCTCTTTCCCACAGAGAGGGAGCCTTACCATTCTGTTGTGTGGAGAGAATGGTCTGGTTGCAGCACTGGAGCAGGTCTTCCACCATGGATTCAAATCAGCTCGCATTTTTCATAAGAATGTCTTCATCTGGGATTTCATAGGTAAGCTGGTAGATGATTAGGAGGAGGTGGTTTAGGGCAAAATAACTCCTCACATGCAGACATTGGATCCTCATCAGCTAGGGTGCCATTTCTCTTGCCAAGCACCTACTCCAGGTTGCTTAAAGTCAATGAGAAACCTGATGGCAGATGAGAAGTACTAAACTCTGTGTAAGAGAAGAGTGTAAGTCTGCACAGAAATTTAAGAGTTCCTAGTCCAAACAGCTGCTTTTCTGAGAGAAACAAGGTAAGATGGATGTTGGAGTAAAGGAGCACAATCAGTGTTAGGGGGAGAACTACGAAAGGGCAGGGAGTGAAAGGTTTGGATTCCTGGTTTATGAGAACTCTCCTAGTCATTGCACTGGTGATCCTAACCTGTAGGCTGTGTAGGGGTAATTTAAGATGTACTTCCTCCCTTAAAACAGGCTTGCAGGCAGAGATGCTCAGCCTGAGGGAAAGTGCTTACTTGGAAACTGTGAAAAATCAATGCTGATGGTATCACTTCCAGTGAAACCATTGAGGGGTGCTCTGGTGCTGCTCCTTGGTGTTGCCTGTATTTAAGATGTACTTCCTCCCTTAAAACAGGCTTGCAGGCAGAGATGCTCAGCCTGAAGGGACGTGCTTAGTTGGAAAACATGAAAAATCAATGCTGATGGTATCACTTAGAGTGAAACCATTGAGGGTGCTCTAGTGCTGCTGCTTGGTGTTGCCTGTGTTAGACATCAACCAGACTGACCAGTGCTATGCCATGGCAAAGGTGGAGGTGACCACCTACCTGTGGTCTTCAGAGTCGGGAATTCATAGATAAACTGTGGAATAGCTCTCAGCAGGTTGGTTTTTTAAGGATTCCCTTGTGTGATTCCATGTCACAATGGAGTGCTTCTTCTCACTGGGTTCTGATGTTCTCCCTACCACAGAGAAAGCTGTTGCTTACTTTGAAACCAGTGATCAGATTGGAGACAACGAGGAGGCCCTTTTGCTTCAGAGATCTTCATGCAAAACCTTCTGTCATTATGTCAGTGCCATCAATACAGCTCCTAGGAACATTGGAAAGGATGGCAAATTCCAAATCCTGGTTTGCCTGGGAACAAGGTACCCAACTGCTCTTCATTATGTGTGTCCTCTGGCAATAGACTAGAAGAATATTTTTCCACCGTTGTTATTACCTTTAGTTTTCCATTTTAAGACATCTCACACCTATCTATTATCCAGTGCCTATTTTAGGCAGCTTTAGTACTATGTCAAAAATTGGAGCAAAGAAGCACTAATAATACATGGCTAGTGTCTAAACTGCTAAAAATGTTTTGAGCTTTTTTATAGCTGTTAGCTTGACAGTCATGTGTATGAAATCTGTCTTGAAATGCTATTTTTGATGAAGTACTGACTTTGAGAATGCAGAGTTCCTTTTCAGGAGCTGATGAATTTCTAAATCCTCATTCAATTACTTGTGAAAATGGGGTGCCTGTTATAATTTTGACAGAGCTGTTCAAAATGAACCTTTCTTTCCTAATAGGGTGCTTTCTGTCTTGCACTTGGGGATGGGGGTGGGACCTAGTTTTATTTTGGAGGGTAGAAGTTGGTATATCTAGAAGTAAGTACCTTTTTTGTCTTTATCTGTCTGGGTACTTGGAAAACCAGTTGGCAAATAGTCTGTCAGATTTTCCTTGAGTTTTACTTTCCCTGTTCCTGATCTGAAAATGTTCCTGAATTCTTACAAATGTCCAATTCTGCTAATACCTTTAAATTTTCATTTCTACAGTAGGTAGTATTTTAATAACCAAATCAATGGTTGCGATTGCACAGCAAACTTGTACGTGCAAACAACACCCACCGCTCACCAAAAGGGGCTGCATGTTTTGGGCTGTGCTCTTGGGGAGGAATTCCAGTGTGATATCTGTGGTGCTTGGTGCTAAAGCAGTTCCTGTCCTGCCCTTTTCAGGGACCACTTGCTGCCTCAGTGGATCCCGCTGCTGGCGGAGTGCCCGCCCATCACGAGGATGTACGAGGAGAACGCTCTCCTCCGGGACCGCATGACTGTCAACTCCCTTATCCGAGTGCTGCAGACATTGCAAGACTTCAACATCATCCTAGAAGGATCGCTCATTAAAGGAGTGGATGTTTAGCATGGCTTTGCTGAGAACTTCATTACTCCTTTCCCAAACAAGCAAACCACAATTGGAGACCTGTCAGGACTTGAATGCCATGGTAGTGCACCACTGTAATGCAAAGCTGCTGGTGAAAGCAGGATTGGGAAACCCAGTTTGTGCCCGATGGGGACTGGCCTCTAAAGCTGCAGTATTGTAGTTTATTTGAAACAGAAATTTAGTACAAAAAATAGAGTATTTTCATGTGTTAGATGTGTGTAAATATGCTATCTTTCTTTAAGAAATTATATTACTCTAAGAAATTTTTCTTAGAGTGAATGTTCTTGTTCTGACTATGAGTAGCTTAAACCCAGGGGAAGGACTTGGGGGAGGGAGGGAAGGACCAAGGTGGGAAGGGATGTCTCTACTTGCTTGCAAGGAAGAAGCCAATCAACGTGTAAATACAGCGCAAACTCAGCAGGGCTTTTTTCAGGTATTGCAAATTAATACAGCAAATATCCTTATGTAGCCATTGTGATCGTGTCGCTCTTGGAAATGCTGTAAGCATATGCTGGTCTACCCTGCTGTACATGGTCTCTCTTAGTTTATTGTTCAAAGATTCACCTTCCCATGCATGGAAGTAGTGAGTTGCTTTTTTTTTTTCCTGTAAGGTCTTTTGTGTCACTCCTGTTGATTTCCAAAAGGGGAAACAAGTGTTGGAATGCTTCAACACTGGAGAGAAGGACTGCTGTCAGCCTGAGAGGATGAGACACCTGTTGAAGCCCTGCTGCTGCAGCCTGAGATGGGGAATGGTGGCTTGCTTGGCTCGCTCAGCATCTCCCTTCCCTGTCTAGATGTTCTCATGATTCACCCTCACCCTCAGCCACTTTGTGTTGTGGATGACCTTTTTTTTTTTTTCTCCTGATGAGGAATTTGGTTTATGCCAAATTCTTGCTGTACTTGAGAAGAATCATTGCTGTAGAGCAACAGACGCTGCTGTTGCTGTGCTACCAAACTCTATCAGCTGGTTTTGAAATGCTGACAGGTTATGAGTCTTCCTTTATCCTGCAGAATGAGTGCTCCTAGGGGAGTACAGGATCTTATCTTGGATGACTTTTTTTTTTTTTAAATAATTATCCAGCTACAAAAAGAAAAGGAATTAAAGAAATTCAGCAAAAGGAGGAAAAATGATCTCACGTTGGTATTTTGAGGCTTCTCTCCTACACTTTCCAGTTAATATGTTACTAATACAGTGCATATATGGAGATACAGTTCTTGATGAGGAGCTGGAAGCAACTGTATGATACAAATTGAACAAGAGATTATATCAAAATCACCTTGTGAATGCCATGCAGCAAGTACAGAGTGTATTTTCCATTGTTGTGGATAGGAGTTGGAAGGGTCTGATGACGCAGTTAGCTTCACCTGATTTTAATTTTTGGAAGTTAGTTTAAATACAGGTTTTTGTTTTCACTTGTTTATTCCCCACAATCTTGGGCCTTTGGTCAGTGGATTCTTTGGAGTCTCACTGTCAGCTGAGGTTGGGAAGGGCCTCTGACTGGTTCTGTAAGTGTTGCCTTGCACCTTGTGCTCTCAAGTGGGGCTTGGCAATGGTGGCCGGGTCTTGGCATAGCGTGCACATGGTGGAAAGAGGGATGGGAGATAAGGACAAAGAAAGAGGATGAAAATTAGGATTTGCTTTCTCACCTGCCTTTTGTCAAGCTTCTCTACTTTCCTGTGGTCCTTCTGCTGCTCGATTTTTAGAACAGGACTCACTTCAGTGTCAAACTTTCATGTCAGACTCCCAGCCAGAAGAAAACTCGTCGTGTAACTTTGTTTCATTGGAGAGTTTTATGTTATAGAAGTTGTTTTGTTTCTAGGAAAGAAGTAAAATAACACTGTCAAGGAGCCTTCCACTTTTAATGAGGGTTCCAGCTTTCAGTAACCATTCTTTCCTCCTGAGCTTGTGCTTCCTTAAGCTGACTGAACTCATCCCAAATACTGCAGGCACCACTGCCATGTCTCTGCTGTGGGTGTGAATAATTAATGTAAAGGCTGTGAATGTTGTCTGGAGTTAGTAGCTAGAGCCCACAGTTGTGTGACATCTCTTACATTTCCAGAAATGTGAAATTTGGGGTGTTAGGATTTTCTGTGTGGCCAGGCGTGTCTGCTTAAAGTCAGCAGACGAAGCATGACAGCCCTTCAGCAGCAATTGAAAATGTGTCCCTGTACTTAACTCTATCAATGAATTATACATTTAGCACCAGAAACCATGTGGCAGCATTATTTGGTAATGACTGCTTAGGATGTTTTGATTTCTATTACAGCTCAGGCCTTTCATGTCTAATGACTGCTGTACAGGATTTTTTCACGCCCAGCCCAGTCTAAGTGGCTTTCATTTTACTGAAATAACCACCTCTTTAGTCCTTAGATTTCTTCACAGCATCATCTGCATTTGCAGGATGGATGCTTCCCAAAGTACATTGCTGCAGACTTCTCCAAAGGCTACGTATGTCTGGCACAGTTGTAGCATTCATCTGACATGGCAAGGGTTAAGTGCAAGCAGGATAAAGGAGAAATGTCATTCATTTAAATGAATAAACCACATACAGAGAAAAAAGGCAATAACTACATTAAGTCTTTCTTAAGTTAAAAGGAGTCAAAACGTGAGAATTTTTGAAATTCAGATCAGGGCCTTTCCCCATATCAGACTACATTAAGAAACCTTTAGCACTTAACACAACTTCACCTCAGCTTTTTCAGCAAGTGTTGACTTGTTTGGTTTTGTCAGGTTTCACATCATATTAATAATAATACATTAAAAATTATGTATGTCTCATGTTTCCTTGTAGGCAATAAACCACCCCAAGATATGTTGAAAGGGGCACAGCTGAGTGCCTCAGATTCCTAGAGTAGTTATTTGACAACCTTGGGAGAATGGTTCTTCATAGTGAATTTTTATTCTACCATGTATGTTTTGGTTTTTTTTAGTAGACTACTTTTGTTGATTGGAAACTGTGAGGTTTTTTTCTGTAAGGTTTACAGAAATCATTCTACCCACTAGAATGGTGAGAAGCTCATCAGGATTCTTCTAAGCTAACACAGCTTTTACTTCAGTGTTAAAGCACCTTCTTTGGTTGAGAAAGGGAATCTTGGAAAAGACCAAAGCTCTCTGGTATCTGCTTTGTAAAAAAACAAAAAAATTCCTATCCAATGCCCATCTGCAGATGTCTGAGTTTGCATAGTCCAGTTGTACTAACAGCCAGCATGATAACTTGAGGGAGTCAGGGAATCTAATGCCTCACTGTGTACAAAATGTGTATTTATAATTCTCTGAAATAAATGAAGTTGTACTGTTTAGTGAATAATCTACTCATGTTTATTCCAAGTTGGTTTGTGAAATTAGCTATCATTGTTCAAAAACGTGTTTTTAGGGTAGTTGCGCGGCAGGTTTGGGAGAATTCCTTCTTTCAATCAAATGAAGGTGCGCATCGTGAGGGGGAAACGTTGTGTGTTACACTTGAAATGTACAAATGTACCCTGTATAGCTTAAAAATGATCCCTAAATGTCTCCATTAAGTATATTTTGTCTTTACATTACTACTAACGGAATAAGAACTGGATTATTTTCAAGACAACATTAGTAATAGTATTGTTATATCAAGCACTTTAACATACACACCACAGACCGACATGGGTTTTTCAGGTTTTGAAGTACATTGAAATACAGCTTTTCATGCTATGTCCTTTACAAATAAAACTGTGAGAATAATGGTTGGTGTCACTTTCTCCTTGCAGAGGAACCAAGAGATTTGGGTCTCAAGCTGAGGAGCTGATCTGAACCTGGAGGGAGCAAACCAAACAATGATCCAGCTGGTGGTGACTCTGGTACTGGGAACTTGCTGGAGCAAAGCTGGGGAGAAGGGGGTGTGAGGGACTGTTCCCAAAACCAGCCCTTCTGCCTCCCCGACACAACGGGAGGCAGAGGCCATGCTGAGCCCAAGAAGCTCTTTTTTCCAAGGCTTGGGTGGAAAATGTGACTGGGAAGAAATGGGATCACAGTGAAGCCTAGCTCTTACCAGGGTGGCGTTTGCTTGGCAACTGGGATTGCTTTGCCCTCGGTATCTGGAGGAGTGGGGAGAAGGAGGATGGGATTAACTTGTAGCAAAGGGTCTCTTTCCTCTCTTGGCCTGAGTTGCTCTGATATTTGAACTCAGGGTTACAATGCTGGGATGAAGCTCGTGCTCTCCAGTCTGTCAGGCAGCATGTTGTGGAAGGTGGAGGGTTGATGGATGAGAGAGAGATGGGTGCCTACAACAAAAAAGGTGCAAATTAAAAAAAAAAAAAAAAAAGAAAAAATAGTGACATTCCCTCTATTCTAAGTTGGACTAGATTTTCAGAAATTTTCCCCATGTCCCTCCCAGCTTCAGATATGCTGGAATTGGCAAGAATAGGAGAATTTTTGGAACCTTTGGTAGTTTGAAATGCAGAGCCTTGCATGAGTGTGTACATGGTGTGTCTGAGGTGCAGCATGTCTGTTCATTTGCTTGAACTTTGTTTAGAGAGGCAGAGAATCTCTGGAAAGGACTGAAAGTCTCAGAGCTTGGGACCATATATGTGTGAATCCTAAAATATATTGTGTGAGATACTGGTGCTTATCAACATTATAGATGTGAATAAAATCTATAGAGCTGCTTATTGCCAAATATCAGTGGGTGGCCATACCTTTACACCTCCTTACTAAATGTGTGTAAATTAGAGATATTGAGGTCTGACATCTTAAAGGCAGTCAGTACTTAAGTAGGGCAGAACTGAGCTCGTCCAGGTGAGCAAGTGCAAATAACTTGCTCTCCACTGTGCTGTCATTGATGCAGTCTGGGAGCACTGCAGTGTTTTCTGCAAAGGAGGAATAGAAGAAAACTGAGAAAACAGACATGGCTAGGAGTTGAAGTAGCTCGTCAGCCTGGTTTGTTCCTTTCCAGCATTTCGGGTAAGCCTGTTCAATTAAAAAAAAATAAATAGTGTTCAGTGAAATGGTGTGTGAAACTGCTTCTCTGTCTGTCACCCCATCAGCTCCAGAGGCTGAGGTTCCTGTGGCTGCAGTCAGGGAGCATTTCATTGCTGACATTCCTGATCTCTCTCCTGCTATTCTGTCAGCCATCTATCATGAGCTGTTTGGAGCCCAGCACAGGGTGTGAGGGGAATGGGGAAATTCCTGTACGGGTCTGCTATCTGGTGGCTGGTTGTGGTAAACTCTCTGCTGAAGCTGCTGCAGAGCTGATTTGTCAGTGGGGAGCTGCAGTGGCTCTGCAGGAAGGCTTGACACTCCACAGGGCCCATCTGCATTCCCTGGAGACCTCACAGGGCATCTCAGATCCTCTGAACGAACTTCCTCTGTCAGAATGTGACCAGGCCAATTATTTTTGCCTTGAACCAAGCCTCAATTAGTCCTGAGGGGAGGCAGGGAGGCAGGGAGGGAGGGAGGGAGGGAAAAGCCTTAGGAGGGAACACAGCCAGCACCCCTGATCTTTACCCACGGTGTATTTTTCATGCTGAAAAGGAGCTCACTGCTAGATGGTCTAATGACAACCTTGTCACCATTCAGTAATGGATTCAGTGGGGTCCATAAATGTAAAATAGCTGTGGTTTGTATAAGAGAGACTCAGGTGTTCACACCAGTCACTGAGTAGTAGAATAATCTGTAAGAGATGTCCCCAGCTTCACACAGGACATTCAGTTTCACCTGCTCCCATGGCCAGCTTATACAAGTCTAAACTAAAATTAAACTCAATAGCAGCGAGATGTTGTATTTGGTGCTCTGCTATCCTTGCATTCTCCTGCTTTCAAAGAGAGGTTTCCAAAAAGGTTGGTGCTAGCCTGGGAAAGCCATTTGCCTTACCCTGTCCCTGCAGCCAGTGGGAAGAGATGGGCTCCTTCAGCAGGCCTTGCAAGGAGAAACCTCACCTAGCTGCTTTTAATTACGCCTAAAGAAGTCCAACAGAGGCAGCTTGCCCTTGGAGGCTGTGCAAGCATTAATCTTTATGAATCTTGCCACCAGCTCTGTCCTCCCATACAGAGTTCATTCCTTCAAAGGCACCCAAGTGATACATTGTGATACATTTACACATCGCAAAAATAAACTGTTTGCAAGAGTGAAATCTAGATGTGATGGACTCGGGCAGTTTGGGGTTTTTTTACAATATATTGATAATTTAGATATCAATTTTAGAAGACAAATTCCTTATTTTTCTTACAGAGGCACACAGTAGAGACCAGAAAATGTGGCTTTGATTTCTAAGTCTCCCTGACTTGCCCCAAGAGCTTTAAGCAATTTGCTTGTGTCATATCCCATCTTGCAGGTAGGGAGCTGATGTACAGAGTGGGGGGACTTTCTTGCAGGCAGTTCTGCCTCACCAAGAAAGATTGTTCATGCTTGGGGTCAGCAGCTGCCCCTGCAGCATCCACTGGTGTGTGACTGAGAGCTGCTTTTCAGTGCTGCTGTGACAGAAGTGCCCTGAGGTCTCACCTGTGGTTAAATCCAGTTTAAAGGCATTGGTGAAACCTGTTGATTCGTGGTGTTCTGGGCTTGCAAGTCTGTCAGGCTGTGTGTGGTTGGAAAGTTTTGTAGTTGTCCAGACAGAAGAATAGGCTTTCTTCCTACTTAGCTACCATACAGGAATTATGGTTGCTATCAGCAATGTGATTAAGCACTGCAGAAATTCATGAAAATCCTTACTTGGCTGTTGTGTGGGGATGGCAGTGATTACCTACCAAAAGGGAGGAAAAATATATTGCAAAAGAACCTTTCCATGGCTTTTCATCTTGAGTCCATAGCTCTTGTAGGAGGTACAGACATTCATTAACATCGAGTTAATCTTGTCCTCTCTCTGCCCCACAGCCTGTCCCTGCTCATTGCAAGCCCAAATAGATCATACCAGGTCCCCCACACCCGTACCAGAAAATGCAAGGTGCAAGGGCTGTGAAGTGCTAGGGAGAAATTTCCAATCAGAAGTGGTCAGTATGACAGAACCATCTTTGGTGCTGTTGTTTGGTTGTGAGGTTTTTTTAAAGGCGTGGATCCAATTTCAAATGAACTGGGAAGTCGTCCCAAAGACTCTGTGCTTCTGTACCTGAGCTAGTGTGAACTCTTCCATGAAGTCTCCTTAGCCTGTTTCTCATGCTCAGTGCTCTCACCTGAGTTTGTCTGCTTGCACACGTTCAGCTTTTGGATTGTCATTACCCCATGAGATCAACAGAATGTGCTCTAAGCTGGACCATGCAATATGAGCCCTCCAGCTCAGAATCAGTGTGGCTGCTGGCTTGCCTGAGATCTGAACTTCTTGCAGATGGTTTGTGGTTCCTGACTGTATAAATAGTGTGAAGCTGGCTAGAAGTGGGTGTGGTGCACAGGATATTCTCCCCCAACCCATAAAATGGCTTAAAGAAAAACTGCATTCAGGGAATGTAAGTGGAAACATCACCCTATGCCTCTGCCCAGCTTTCATGTTCCTAAAGCTGTGGGAAAAGTTTCCATTCATGGTAACAGGAATACGAGAGAACTAGGAAAAACTTGCAGGCCAGAGAAGCTATTTCGTTCATCCTCGGGATGGACTTTGTTAGAAGAGAATTTCAGATGTCAGCAGGAATTTGTGCTAGACAGGGGTAGTGTGGGTAGCTGTGTTCAGTGAGAAATAGGATAGCTGCTCTGGGCTTAGTCATTTGTGTTTAACTGGCACAATGCTAAAAAGTGAGGAATGAACTAGCTGATCTTCAATTCAAATGTGTGTCCTGGAAGTGCAAATACAAGCTGATCCACCATGGCTTGCTGAAGTCAAAGTTCCTAAAACTGATGAGTTTAGACAGGCATTCATGAACAATGTAGTCTGAAAAACCTATTAGTTTGTGCACAGAAGGGAAGCGACCCTCTTTTGGGAAAATTAAAAAATGACTGTTGTTGCTGCTGCTTTCAATGCACAATGTTTATTAGCACAGTCCCAGCCTTCCACGTAAGAGTTGGCTTCTGGGTGATCTCAGCATTTTAAGCACAAATAGTTATCTCTGTGAAGGGCCAGGCTTGTGCTAAGGAAGATATTGTACAGCCTCGTGTTGATCTCTGCAGTTCAGAGAGCCCGGGAGAGAGCAGTGGCAGGACACAGGGTGTGACAAGCAGGACACTGACGGTGAAGGCTGCTGGTGTGGACTCTGGGCAGAGCCGTGAGCAGCATGGTTTGTCTTATCACAAAGTGCAGGATGTTCTAGATAGATCCCCCTCAGCAAGTGGGGGCAAATCTGAGCCCTCATTCCCCGGGGCAGAGCAGGGACTGGCCGTAGAGGACAGGCATGTCCCTTTTGTCCCCTCCACAGCCTCTCCAGGCTCTTGTTTTCAGGAACGTTTTTCAGCAGGATGCACACATCTTTCACCTGCACTTGGCCTGTAACAAAATTAAGTTTTCTTTTGACGTTGGAAATTAAATCTGTTTGTAATGGGATCAGCTCCTGCAAGCATCCAAAGTGTTGGGAAGTTTTCATCAAAAATTGGTGCAGGGCTACCAAAGTGCAGTGCATTTTGCCAAGTACTGTAAGCCTCATGCCTTGTCTGGTTCATCATCCAAGCTGGCCATGTTCCTGGAGATATCATAAGCTGAGCTGCTGAGCAAGATCCTCCTTACAGGACCCCTGGGATGCCCCTCTGTCCCTTGGACCTTGCTCCTTCCAAGTTTCATAAGCAGGGGGATTCTGAGAGACTTTTGTGCTGAGGATAAGGAAGGGAAG